GTACATCTTATCTCATCTCTTATCTTAGATGTAACAAAGACATGGATCACTGTCTCAAAAAGCTGCTCTGATAAGATGCGCTTTATTTTTGCCAGTTGTCTCAAATGAAAAAAAGACAGATTTTACAACAGCTCTGACCTGGCTTTCAACTTCATCATCTGCCTCCATTTAAACTCCCAGGTTAGTGGTGATTGGTTTAACAAACTGTGCCAGCAAACCAAGATCCATAGTAGTGGTCTCAGAAGTGCCACCAAAAACCATCACTTCTGTTTTCTGCTTATTAAAATGTAAAAAGTTCAAAGGCACCTAGGTCCTTATTTCATCATGACATCTGAGCAGAGGGTCTACTGAGAAACCATTTATCTTTTAAGTGGGAAACAAATCTGGGAGTCATCGGCAAAACAGTAGAAAGAAATCCCATGTTTCTTGAAAATATACTCGGGTGGTATCAGATATAAGGAGAAAAGAAGCGGGCCTAAAACTGAACCCTGTGGAACCCCACATTGAAAAGAAGCAGCAGAGGATACAAGCTCATCAAGTTTCACAGAGAAAATTTGGTCTGCCAATTAGGATCTGAACCACTGCAGTGCAGTACTCCTAACACCCACCACCTGCTCTAAACTGCAAATTAAAATCTTATGATCCACTGTATCAAAGGCAGCTGTTAAATCTAAAAGCACAATAATAACACAGTCATGTGATGCAGTTCCTAAAAAAAATTATTAAAAACTCTTAAAAGTGCAGATTCTGTACTATGCAAAGCTTTAAAACCAGATTGAAAAACTTCCGAAATACAACATTCTTCTAAAAATGGATATTCATGGCTTGTAAACTACCTTTTCAAGAATCTTTGAGATAAAACTCAATTTGGAAATAGGTCTGTAATTTGCAGTCATTTCAGGATGTGAATTCCAGTAATACTGTAATATTTGCTGACACCTGAAGTTCATCCTTCTTCCGTTTACGTTCAGCTCTCTACACTTTCTTCTGGCTTCACAGGTGCCTTCATTCAGCCATGGTTCAGATATGGCTTTTACTTATCTAAGATTAAGGAGTCCCAACAGCCACTTCATAAATGTATGGCACAGCATAGAAGAGCCACCTCCACAGGACAAGACTCAGCAGTCCATCTGCATCTAAAGGACAAAGGTCACTCTTTTGAGGATGCCAAAGTTCACAAGCACAAGTTCACAATGAACTCATCCAAAAATCTTGGCTGATTGTGACCTACACCCGTTTTCACACCATTGTCCCTCTTGGGGGGACACTCCCACGGGGCTTAAATCTGGGATTTTCCACGGTTCGACCCTAGAACTGAAGAAGCTTCTCGGATGAAACGTCTTCAAGAAACAGCTGTGAGGACAGAGCAACTCCTTGGTAAATAATGCACTTGATGGTGACTTATGAAGGTCCTTGCAGTCCAGTTGATCTTGCGCACTTCCAGGATCCCTGTGTGAGGCACAGAGTCATAGGCTTTCTTGTAGTAAATGCAGGTGGTGCATATGTTGGTCAGTGTAGTTTTCCTTTGTGTGCCCCACTCACATATTAATCCTTATTCCTCTTTGTTGCTATGCCTAACAGGAACTTATATGAAGTACCGAGCTATTTGGGTGAGAACACTTGCTTCTTCAATTGAGCTTTTCAGGTCTATCTTTTTTGTGTGTGTGTGTGTGTGTGTGTGTGTGTGTGTGTGTGTGTGTGTGTGTGTGTGTCCTGTCTGGCACTGTAGCAATCAGAATTATGTCTGAAGGCCAAGACAAATGCCCAACAGATTTACTTTCCCAAGTGGGCCTTTTGCAATACTGGTCCACTTGATTGTCATAGTTTATTTGATCTTTATCAGTTATTTTTATAAGTTATTGTAATCAGGCCAGACTGGACTCGGGGACGGGAAAGAAAAACAAGAAGAAAAGTTCAGAAGAAAGTTAACAGAAGGAGAGAGAAAGAAAAAGGAAAAGAGAGAGAGAGAGAAAACACGATGAAAATCTGCTTCATCACCTTTTTTTTTCTTTTTCCTTTCTCTTGATCACCTGTTGAGAAAGAAAAAAGAAAACAAGCAGAGGAAGACTAGAGCAATAGCATAAACAACATCACGATGATCTATGTGACTATAACAGTAATACTAAATATTAAACATTATTGTGCAGCACGTAAGATCGACAGCGCACAGTGTGCTTTAAGGTCTCAAACTTAGTGTCAGTAAACAGTCACAGGCCTCAGGTACTTTTTAACGTTCTTAATCGCTTTCTTAGTTTATGTGATAATTCTGGAGTCACTTCTTCACCAAGTATGTGCGATGATTTTTTAGCATTTTTTAATGACAAGATCCTATTGATCAGGGCCCTTGTCTCGTTGTCTGCTGCCTCAGATCAGAGTCCTTCTCCTGTGTGCTCAGCTGTCTTAGAGCAGTTTGATCCCGTCTCCCTTAAGGACTTGACCGCGGTAGTTAGTAACCTAAGATCATCACACTGCCCCTCTGATTGTCTCCCCCGAGCTTGCTTAAAAGCACTTTTAATACTGTTGGGCCTTTTATCCTGAGATTAATTAATACGTCCCTTGCTACAGGCTGCGTCCCATCATGCTTTAAACAAGCTGTAGTTCAGCCTCTTCTTAAAAAACAAAACCTGGACCCAACTGTTCTGTCCAACTACAGGCCTATCTCAAAGCTTACTTTTCTTTCTAAAGTCTTGGAGAAAGTGGTCTACCTACAGTTGCAGGCACACCTTGATTCTTATATGATCTCTGAAAAATTTCAATCTGGTTTTAAATCCCTACATAGCACTGAGGCGGCACTTTTAAGGATTTTTAATGCTATTCTTTTAACTCTGGACTCTGGCAGCCCTGCTGCCCTTTTATTGTTGGACTTGTCAGCAGCTTTTGACACGGTCGACCATGACATCCTGTTATCACGGCTAGAATTTCATGCTGGCCTAAAAGGATCTGCCTTACAGTGGTTTCGGTCCTATCTGTCAGAAAGGTTTTTTTATGTCAGTATGGGCCCCCACAACTCCAAAATAGCCCCTCTTAAATACGGTGTACCTCAAGGCTCTATTTTGGGTCCTGCCCTGTTCGTACTCTATTTTTTGCCATTGGGCTCCATCTTCAGCATTTCATTTCATTGTTTTGCTGATGATTTGCAGATTTATCTACCTTTAAAAGCAGGGTCAGACCATCCCCAGCTCTTATTACGCTGCCTTGATGATGTCAAACAGTGGTTGTCATTAAATGTTTTAAAGCTAAATGAAAATAAAACTGAGGTTGTCATTTTTGGCAACTTTAATCATATCGACAGCACTCTGGGCTACTTTCCTCGTATTGTAAAACACATGTAAAAAACCTCTGTGTCTACATTGATGGTTCTTTTAAACTGAATAAGCAGGTGAGTGCAGTAGTTCAGTCCTGTTTTTTTTTAGTTAAGACAGCTAGCCAAGGTAAAGCCATACCTTCCGGCTAACGTCTTTGAGCGTGTTATTCACCTTTTCCTTACTTGCAGATTGGACTACTGCAATTCATTGTATTATGGTCTAGATCAGGCCACCATCCATCATCTTCAGATGGTTCAAAATGCAGCTGCTCGCCTGCTAACTGGTACCAAACGGAGAGAGCATATAACCCCACTTTTAGCTTCTTTACACTGGCTTCCTGTCTCCTACAGGATCCAATTTAAACTTTTACTTTTTGTTTTTAAGTCACTTAACGCCCGAGCCCCTCCTTACCTGTCTGAGCTCCTCTCTGCCTATGCTCCAGGAAAAACCACGAGGTCTAGCTCAAAACTAATGCTGTCCATCCCACCGACTAACCTCAAATCCCGTGGTGATAGATCCTTCTCTGTGGCAGGTCCCAGACTTTGGAATAGTCTCCCCTTAAATATTAGATCTGCACAAACACTTGAGCAATTTAAATCTTTACTAAAGACACATTTCTATGCCCTGGCTTTTAACACACTATGACCCAAACATTTTGATCTTATTTGAATCAGTTTAGTTATTGTTTTAATTCTTTTACTGTCCTATTATTGTTTTTTATTGTTATTATTGTATTACATTGTTGCTTTTTAATACCATTTTTATATTGTTAAGCACTTTGTGCAGCATCAGCTGTTTGAAATGTGCTATATAAATAAATTTGACCTTGACCTTGACCTTAAGGTAGGAGCCAAACAAGGGTGTAGTTTGTGTGTGTGATCACCCGTGTGTACACCTGTGAGCATGGACGCGCTTGTCTTTTTAAAAGGTTCCTTCATGTAATGATCTGCTAGAGGGTGTGGGGGGCCACAGCCCCGTCCTCCAGGGCATGAAGCAGGTATGGAGGAGATCAAAACTCCAGACATCCAGAGGCCCCCAGAACACAAGAGACCAAGGAAGACCAACAGAGGGGCAGCCGCACCACTGTCCCAGAAAGAGCTGAGGAGAGTCCCAGATGAGGGCTCACTCAGCAGCCGCGGAGCAGAAGCCAGGGGGGTTGCAGTGACGCGCCCGTGAGCTCCGCCGGCAGCCAGCTGTGCCTGAGTGACCGAGCCCCAGGCCGAGAGGCCGAGGGCACCCCACCTCCGAAGTGGCCCGAGCGAGCCCCAGGCTCCAGGCCCCGATAAGCACCCACCAAGGAGTGAGCCGGTGTGTACCTGGACGCCCATCCCCAGACACAAAGAACCACCAACGCACCGATGTCTGAGGGAGTCCGCCACCGGATATGAACTTTTTTCAAGACAGTGAATCTTGAAACCAGAGAAAAAATAGAGAGTTTTAACTTGTTCCATTGGCAGATTTTTTTCACTTATTTCAAGCTAAAATATTTATTAGAATTCAAATTTAGACAGAAATAAAGTGAATAATATTATTTTATTATCACGTTGATGCAGCACATGGTTCAGTTAGCTTTGTATAAACACGTGTTAGAAATGTTCTTCAATCAGCTCTTTTTACTCTCATTTCACAGCCAGTACTTTTTACTTTTACTTGAGTAAAGAAGTTGAATTAGTACTTGGAGTATTTTTAACAGTAGTACTTCTACTTCAGTACACACTGTGTGTACTTTTACCACCTGTGTCTGAGACCTCCTTCAGGGTCCACCTGAAGCTCTCAGTCTGCTGTGGAAAAAGGAAATCCAGGTGAGTTTCTCCTGATCACCTGAGGCCGTCATTACTGTGTGAACCCACACACCACTCCTCACTCCTCCCACCCGCTGCACACAGTCACTGAGTACAGACCGGCTGATTCCTGTAAAGGGAGAGGCAAGAAGAGGCGGAGCAACACCTGAAAAACAAGAAGCTCAACGTCATTTTGCAGAAGTGAAAGTGTGAGAGAGCAGCAGCAGAGCTGCAGTCGAGTCCTGTTTGTCTCTAAAAGAAGATTCACTGGAGTCCATCAGATTCCTCTCAGCAACAGTGGTGAGTGCAGCTGATCACACTTCCTGCTTCTACACAAATCTTCACTCTGTTCACTTCATCAGGGCTCTAGAGCGCCACCTCATTCCTCCATGGTGCCACTTAGGCTACGTCCACACTCGCCCGGATAGATTTGAAAACAGCGCTCCGCGTCCACACTGGTGTTTTCAGTCGTTTTCACAGAGTTGTGCGTCCACATTAAGACGGCTGAAAACGCTTACGTTCCAGTCCTGCGCATGCGTGAAACGCAAGATGATTCGACCGGTCTCATTTCTGTCTGCCGCTTATTCACTTTCCGGCTGTTTGAAACGTCGCAGCAGAGGTGGAGGAAAAGCACCGAGTTTTAAAATGGACTAACAATGAGGTGGAGTTGTTGCTGCGAGTAACACAAAAGTACAAAGTTGCAAAAGCGAGAGAGAAATAAAGAATTTTAAGAAAAACTCTGTGGAGCATGTGCAGACTGATATTCATCTTTAATAGGACTGTCAAAACTGCAGCTGTATAATGCTCTCCACTATCTTTGTTTAATTGGTCACATGCCTGCATCACATGACTAACATGCATCATTGTTTTAGAAAGTCTCTGTTTTCACTCTTCACTGTGACACAAACGCACCGTCTCCAAATTATTTACTTTCAGGCTGTTTGAATCGTCGCAGCAGAGGTGAGCAGCGTGATAGGAGTGGATGTAGCTGTGGGTAATGAGAAAAGATGAAAAGAACGATTGATAACTTTTTCGTTAAGGCCGGTGCTCTGACACGGAGCCATCAACCTCTCAGTGTCTAACACTGGTCTGCAGACGGCATCAGATAATGAGCCACATTAGATGGACTCTGAGCCCACTGACAGTAAAAGGGTGAAGTGTAGACATTTGGAAGAGAGCGGCCTGACCAGTTTCTCTGACTATGATACTGTAAAGCTGACAACATGATGCATTTACTGTGGTGAGTGTGCAAAGACCATGGCAGGTGTTGTGCCAAGGTAGGGATCCCCAACAGGATCTGTTTCCCTGCGTCAGGAACATCGGCTGGGCAGGGAAAGCGGACCCAACGCACTCCGCCTCCATCACGACCAACTAGACGTGGAAGGAGTGATGTTTTAGTGACAACATGAAAGATGAGTGTGACCGTTCAGTTTGTGGGTTACAACAGAAAATTATACATTTATTGTTCTCGTGTGTTATCGGACGGGATCATTTTAACAAACCGAGGACATTTTCCTGATAATTATCTGTATCCTCCTGTAACTTTACTGTTTAAAGAGCTAAAACCTCCAACATTTCAGGATCAATAAGTCCTTATAAGACGTGTTTGTGAGCTAAAAATCAAGAATGTGGGATACTGTTTGTCTGTGTCAGCCAAACAACTTCACATCTTTGTAACGACTGTTAAAAAGATGTTCATCCTGTTGATCCTGTTCATCTGGACGCTGCACTGTACAGCAGACACGACGTTGTTCAGTTTGTGTTTCAGATGAACCAGTTTGTGTCTGAGTGTGTTGCTGGGTCTCCACCAGTTACTCTGACAACTGAAGGTTCAAGATTTTTATTTTGACATTTGCACACAGGACCAACAGTCCATGCACAGTGGAATACTTGTGCAGAGCTTTCCAAGTCAAATCACACTTTAACAATATAAAGACAGAAAAAGCAGAAGGATAGAAATGAAGTCCGGAGTAGGGTAGTCGTACTATTTTCTATATACAAAGAAAAAGAAGAAAATGTACAGAGAGTGTGTAGTTCTCTACCTCTTATCGCACTCACAGTATTGCACATTTGTTCCACAGATCTGTTTCACAAGTCTGTTGTGAGTGTATTGCCCGATGGTCAGTGAACCGATGATACATTCAAAGTGAGGTTAAGTAGTGCTGTGTTATTTTAAGTGTTCAGTGTGTTTTTGTTTGCCGTCAGTCTGACAGTTGTGGGGAAGAAGCTGTTGAAGAATCGTGTTCTGTGTGTGATGCTGCTGTCCACTCTGTTGTGTCTGAGATTGTATGTGCAGCTTTGTATGTGCAGGTCCATGGATGCATGTGTTGTTCCCATAATCCTCTCTGCAGACTTTCTGACTCTGCAGAGCCTTCCTCTCTGTCTGTGTAGTGTTTCCATACCAGACAGTGATGCCTGCGGTGAGGATGCTGTCTATCAGTCCTCTGCAGGCCTGGGTGAGAGGGTGGTGGTTCATGCCAGCTTTCCTGAGCAGCCGAATGAAATAAAGCCTTTGCTGGGCTTTTTTCACAGTTGCTGTAGTGTTGAGAGTCCAGCTCAGGTCTGATGTAACCTGCAGTCCCAGGAATCTGTGGCTGTTTGCCCTCTCCACCTCCGTCCCTTTGACGATAAGAGGCTGCAGGGGAGGGAGTTCTTCCAAAAGTGCAGTATTCATTCCTTGGTCCGTGTTGAGGATGAGGTGAAGAAGCTTCTGTGATGAAAAGAAACTTAAAGAAGTCCAGACGCTTTTCTCTCCAAGCTCCTCAGACTACTGACGCTTGTTTCTCTCTTTGTAAAATGAAATTTAAAGTGAATTTTGAATCAAATGTTTCTCTTCTTTCTCCCTCAGAGTGCAGACATGTCTGCTGCCAGCAATCTGCGATCTGAAGATCAGTTTCTGTGCTCCATCTGTCTGGATGTGTTCACTGATCCAGTCTCTACACCATGTGGACACAACTTCTGCAAAACCTGCATCAGTCAGCACTGGGACATGAATCAGAGCTGTCAGTGTCCCATGTGTAAAGAGCCTTTCTACACTCGACCTCAGCTGAGGGTCAACACCTTCATCTCTGAGATGGTTGCTCAGTTCAGACGTGAAGCTCAGCAGAAAGCCAGCAGCAGCAGCTCAGAGCAACAAGCTGCCAAACCAGGAGAAGTTTCCTGTGACGTCTGCACTGGAACCAGACTGAAGGCCCTGAAGTCCTGCCTGGTGTGTCAGACCTCCTACTGTCACACTCACCTGGAGCCTCATCTGACACTGAAACGTCTGAAAAGACATCAGCTGATTGATGCTGTGGAGAACCTGGAAGGCAGGATGTGCACGAAGCACGATAACCTTCTGCAGCTGTTCTGTAAGACCGACCAGACATGTGTCTGCATGCTCTGCCCTGTTTTAGACCACAAGAACCACGAGTTTGTTCCTCTGAGAGAAGAATATGAAGGAAAGAAGGCAGAGCTGGAGAAGACAGAGGCTGAGATTCAGCAGATGATCCAGAAGAGACGACTGAAGATTCAGGAGATCACAGAGTCGGTGAAGATGAGTAAAGATGCTGCAGACAGACAGAAAGCAGAAGGTGTTCAGGTCCTCACGGCTCTGATGGAGTCTGTTGAGAGACGCCTGAAGGAGCTCATGAAGGAGATCGAAGACAAACAGGAAGCTACAGAGAAACAGGCTGAAGGTCTCATCAAAGATCTGGAACAGGAAATCTCTGAGCTGATGGAGAGAAGCTCTGAGGTGGAGCAGCTCTCACGCTCTGAAGACCACCTCCACCTCCTCCAAAGCTTCTCCTCCCTGAAAGCTCCACCCAGCAAGGACTGGACAGAGGTCAGAGTTCATCCACCATCATATGAGGGGACTGTGGGGAGAGCTGTGGCTCAGCTGGAGGAGACAGTCTGGAAACTCATGAAGAAGAAGCTGTTAGAGGCTGAGCTGCAGAGGGTGCAGCAGCATGAGGTGGATGTGACTCTGGATCCTGATACAGCAAATCCCTGGCTCATCCTGTCTGATGATGGAAAACAAGTGTACTGTGGTGATGTGAGGAAGAAACTTCCAGACAACCCAGAGAGATTTTCTAGGTATGTTTGTGTTTTAGGAGAGCAGAGTTTCTCTTCAGGCAGATTTTACTTTGAGGTTCAGGTTAAAGGAAAGACTGAGTGGGATTTAGGAGTGGCCACAGAGTCGATCAACAGGAAGGGACAAATCACACTGAGTCCTCAGGATGGTTTCTGGACTGTATGGCTGAGAAATGGAAATGAGTACAAAGCTGGTGCTTCCTCTCCAGTCCCCCTCTGTCTTCATCCTGGTCCTGAGAAGGTGGGGGTGTTTGTGGATTATGAGGAGGGTCTGGTCTCCTTTTATGATGTAGGTGCTGCAGCTCTGATCTACTCCTTTACTGGCTGCTCCTTCACTCACAAACTCCACCCATTCTTCTGTCCCAGTCCTAATGATGGAGGTAAAAACTCTGCACCTCTGATCATCTGTCCTGTCAATCAAACTGATCAACGACTGATTTTATTGGATGAATGATTGATTTTTCTTGAAGGGAACAAATGAACATATTGAGTGTAAATCCTCTACAGTCTCCATGTTTCTATAGAATCTGATCATCAGGACTCTGATTCACACTTTGATTCTCATGGAGTTTGATTTGAACAGAAGAAAAGTTGAATCAGGAAATGTTCCCACTGATGGAGACTCGAGCTGAAGAGCAAATATCAGAGAACAAATGTCCAAAAGCTTCATTTCCAATAAAGTTTGTTCAATGCTTTGAGTGAATCCAGACTCATGTGTGGCTGTTATACGGAGCATCAGAGTCCAGCTGAGTTATGTTGGATACAAACTGCTTATTTTGGCTCTGTGAGGAGTTTTGTTCACTGAAAACTGATGAGACGGATAATATTCAAAGAACTCTGTAGAGATTCATGCATCCATGTTCTCCACCTGCAGGTGTGGAGGAGACAGGTGGAGCATAGACTGCTGCATCCTTCCAGTCACATCATTTTGATGATTATATTTGCATGTTGTGATGATTTGGGTTAAAGACAAACAGAGTTGAACGGCTGCAGTCACAGCATGAAGACGATGCTGAAGCTGAGCTGTCAGTGAACATGTTTCACTGTGATTTGATTTGAAGAATAGAAAGTGTGTGTGGCTGCTGACAGCTGCAGTCTCTGCTAGTCTGCATAACACACACACAACATTCCCCCTGAGGCAACGATGCAGCAACAACATAAAGAACAGCTGCAGACACACACACACACACACACACACACTGTTAAAGAACACTTTACTGTTTAAGGCAGAATTCCTCAGTAACAATGATTTGAGTCTACTGTGTCTACTGTGGTTTCCAACATACAATCTACTGAAACATGTTTTTCTTTCTGCCGTACAAACTATTTGATCTCAACATCTTTGCTTTTTTCCTCCAATCGTTTATTCTGATTATTTTATTTAGTTTAACTAAGAAAACCTTAAAATTTAACTCTTAACCTGATTTAAACGTTTCATTTCTCATTAACTCAGACTTTTAATTTATTTCCTTGTTTAATGTATTATTTCTTTATCCTTGTTTAAGTTTTGCCGATCCTTTCTGTGTAACCTGTGTTACGCCCCAGTCTAGGGGTACAGGAACGCAACACAAGTTTGAAAGAATTGCCCCGCCCTGGTCCCCAAAACCATACACAAAGGGAAACCAATTTCTTAGTGAATCGTGATTTATTTTTCTGCACTGCAAAAATGAAGCTCCGGGGTGAACAAAGGCCAAAATAACAAACAAAACAAGCTAAGTCAGGAGGAGGTGTTATCTACAACCCTATGTGAAATCAAATATCAAACAAAAGACAAACGCTACACCTAACTCCCTAACTGAAATAAACAGGAGAAAACAGTGCAAGGAAAAACAATAAGGCAGCTCACCCCTTCTGTTGCAGTGCTATTTACAAGGCTATTTACAATGAAAACTAATGTACACACTATATACAAAACTCCAAAAAAGTCGCACAAAGTCACAGGCACAAAAGTCTCAGGTTTTGGAGGCCAGGGTCAGGTCTGCTGCTGCTGTCAGTGGCTGCCCCGGGACAACTGCTGGTGAGGGATTTGAATGAAGATCACATGGCCAGGGGACCAATCAGCAGCCGTCAGCTCATCCACTCCGGGACCTGCAAAGACTTAAAGGCACAGACAACAACAGCCACCAAAACAGATTATGGACAGGGCCATAACAGAAGCCATGACTCTGTGAGTTATGATTTGGATGCCAGCTCTGCTATTATAGAGCCTGACAATCTAAAACGATTCAGCTGGATTTATTGCTTACGCAGAATAGTACGAACATGGGGAATGACCCAGGTAAGGGGAGTTTCTGACCTGCCGCTATCAAATTTATAGGTGAACGTAACAAACAGAGAATGGAATGTTTGACTGATGTTGGTTTTTATCACAGGAATACAACATCACAATGCAACTGGAAGCAGGAGTTCGCTACTTTGACTTGAGGATCGCTCGCAAACATAATGACCACCATCCCACTAGGCTTTACTTTTACCATGGGCTGTACACAAGCACTGATGTTGAGGTAATAATAAGCATATTATGTAAAAGTACAAGACTATATATACCAAAGTACAAGACTAAAATATCAAATTTTTTGATATAAAAATAACTGAACTTTTAGCAGATTTTTTTTAACTTAAGAAGACCTTTACTAAGCTTTAGGCAAGACCTGTTTTAAAACTAGTTCAAGTTTTAAAATATGACCAAAGGTAAATAAACACAGGTGTTACTGATTTCCTTTATGAAGTGTCTGTTCTATTTTGGTAATTAGCCTTAGTTAATGTGATTTATAACACATGTGCTCACTTACTGTGTCATGAAGGAACCCTATAAAGAAGATTTCTTTTATCTAATGCCAGCTAATTTTCCCATTGAGTTCAGACTGTTCTCGGGGAAATACATGCCTGGACAGTGGCCCATCCTAAAGAAGTCATCATCCTGGCTTTTTCAAACTTCAATGGTTTTGAGAAAAACATTAAAGATAAACTTCACAACCATCTTATCGGCTTCATTAAGACCATGTTTGGAAGCACACTCGTCCCCCCGGTAGTGTACAGTTTTTCTTCTTTTTTAAAAAATGTATTCATTTATTCTTAGATCAGTAGGTCAAATAAGTCTCATTGTTGAAGTACTTACTGTAACCTTTGCTTATAGTTTCAAAATAAGATATTCATTATCTTACAACAGGGCATCCCCACACTGCAGAACTGCTGGGACCAAGGCAAAAATGTCATAGTTTCATATGACTATCCAGCAAACTACCATCCTGAAATGTGGAAAAAAATAACTTATTACTACGCCAATAGCATGGACCGTGCACAAGTTAAATCAAAAATATCTGAAGCCTTGGGAAAGGAAAAGACTTCCAATTGTGAGTTTTCTCAACTATGCCATGTTATAAGTTATAGACAGCAAGACATTCATCTTTGGTGATCAAAAAACAATATTACTTGGGATGTAAATATCCAAAATAACATCTATTCAGAGAGAAAAAAGTTTTAAACAGCCAGGTTATACACAATATAATTTGAGATAATTACTAAGCTTCAACTTGTTCCCCACAGATTTCTTTGTATGTGGTTTGAACATGACTCTTCCAGCAGATCATAGGATACTCATCTACATCCTTCGTCTCTGCGACAGTTTCCCCAACGTTATTAGGAGGGGTCTGCCTAAGCTCCTGAAATGGCTGAAGCAGCAATCAGGTGTGAACATCGTTGCCTCAGACTTGGCAACTCGCAAGGACTTTGTGTCAACAGTTGTTGAGCTCAATTCTGCACTAATGAAACCATAACTGAAAAAGTATTGTGTTTCTTTAGTTTGAATATGACGGTGTGTGTGTGTTTTATTCTTTAAACCATAGATAACTCATCGGTTCATTGAAAAGATATAAATATTGTACAGTTACTAGAGGCTTAAATATTTTGCTTGTACATAAGTATTGTATTGCTTTTTTAAATAAACAATAAATTGTTTTTAAATTTTTATTTAATGTGTCAAATACAAAAACAAACACATTTTGTGTTGTATAAATTCAAGACTAATAACAATTAATAAAATAAAAAATGTGTAGAAAAATAAGCATATGAACAGGGTGTAATATTAAATTATAAGCCACATACACAAGGAGGTAGGAAAAAAGTGCAGATATATATTTTATCTCACATATCCAATGCAATGCGAAGATGGTTTATAATATATTAGAATTTGTGTTTTATTTCCTTTAGGTAATGTAAAGATTTTATATTTAATTTAAATTCGTTTACGAAAATAACAAACTTGGGAGAAGACGTTACTGCACAGTTTGTCATTTTTATTTTGTATCACCAAAACAAATACATTATCTCCTGTGATCCCCACTCCTGCTTTGTTGTCGCGCCTCCATCTGTCAAGTGAGGGTATTGCAAAAAAAAAGTGTTTAACTCATGCCTGGAAGTTTTGACTGCTGTCTCTTCACAAACTAGCTAACGTTAGCTTGCTAAAGTGACGCACTTGGTGGATTAGGATGTTAAGACTAGCATGGCGTCGGTCGGCGTCCAAACATAGCCGCGCGGGACCTACATGCGTGTTAACTGCAGCTTATTCGGGAGCGTATAGTCCACAGCAGAAATCACAGGGTGACTTAAGGTGTTTCAGACAAATTCCCCACCCACCAAGCGACAGGTCACCGCTCCTCCATCCCCGGGCGGCCTGCTACCTCAGGTAACGCTGCCTCAGCTAATGTGTAGCTAATGCTAGCTGTACGTAAACACTGCTTTGACATTTTACAGCAAGCATAGCGGGCTTAGCATAAAAGTCACGACCTGTTGTATTATGATACGGTTGTTGCTTGTGGCACAATAGCACTAACGAGTGTCGAACCACACCATACTCCCATATAAAATCATTCATATTAATATGTCCCTAAGGCTAACTCGTGGCCAGAGACATTCCCCCGTAGGGGCAAACATTTGATTAAAATCATAATGCCACGCATTTCAATTCGGTGTAAGTACAAAGGCTGACAATATGTTTTGGTTTCTATTAACTGGTTAGCTTTTCTTGCTGGTTTCTTGGTAACTCATCGACCACCCTCCGCTAACGATGAAAATTCTAGCATTGTGCTTCTAAGTTACACGTGAAAAATCACGCACATATGTGCAGCTTTTCCACCCGAATTCAACAAAAATGACTCATAAAGTGAAAGCTGTTTGTTGACGTTTTCCGGGGTATGAACTTTTATTTTTTAGCTAAGTCATAATAAATTGGAGAATATTCAAATGGAATTCGCCACGGCTGCCAGTCTGGACTAACAGCTGCTTGACAGCTACTGCAGCTTTAATGAGCTGCTGAACAAGCTTGTACAGCCCCAGAAACGCTCAAGAATTGTAATTAGAAAAAATTAACCTATCAATATTAGTATATTATTTTATATATTCTTTTGTCGATATACTACACAGGGTATTGACAGTGTTTCTGTAAGGAACGGGTATGTATAGAGAAATTTGAACTGAATGTTGTAGCTGTATTTTTATCGTATTACTCAAGGGTAACACAATGACATCCTGGGGCTGGCTTAACATTGTGTAAGGTATTTAGTCACTGTATTTGGGCCCACACCGAGGCAGCAACATCAAGATTGCTCTGTTTTGCTAATAACAACATGCGCACAACCCTGTCGACTGGTGAGTGCTTTTTAAACTTCAGATGGACATACTTTCTGAAAGCACGGCCAAATGCTACGTTTTGTTTTTCTTTTTTCCTTTTTTGGTCAGGTATCCATGGGGGAAGGATGCTTTTGACAAAGCAAAGAATGAAGACAAACCCATCTTTTTATCCGGTAAGAGTTAAAAAAAAATCTCCGAGACATAGATTACAGATATCTGGATCACTACATTAAGAATTTTCTTTTGCTTGACCTCCAGTGGGCTATTCCACATGCCATTGGTGCCATGTTATGGAGAGGGAGTCCTTCGAGGACGAGGAAATTGGCAAAATCCTTAGTGAAAACTTCATCTGCATCAAGCTAGACAGAGAAGAGAGGCCTGATGTGGATAAGGTCTACATGACCTTTGTGCAGGTTTGTATACATTTACATTTTCACATGAAAATCTCTTTCAGCTTCACTCTGCTAGTGCCCCTTTATAATTTTTGCCTGGGAATTATTTCCAGGCAACAAGTGGAGGTGGTGGTTGGCCTATGAGTGTGTGGTTGACTCCTGAACTTCGACCTTTCATTGGAGGCACCTACTTCCCTCCCAGAGACCGTGGAGGTAGACCTGGGTTCAAGACGGTCCTCACCAGAATCATAGATCAGGTAGTAAAACTTCAAGAATTAGGGAACATTATTATATCAGATTTCATGCATTGTTAGTGGGGATGAAAAAAAGTCGTTAAAGAGATTTAAATTATATTTTTGTTTGTTCTCTTTACCCTCCTGTGCTGTCTCTGTGGAAATGTATGAATGACATAAAGTATGACTTGTGTTCTAAAGTGGCAGAATAATCGTCCTGCTTTGGAGTCCAGTGGGGAGAGGATCATTGAGGCCCTGAAAAAAGGCACAACCATCACTGCAAACGCAGGCCAAAGTCCTCCACTGGCTCCAGACGTGGCTAATCGCTGCTTCCAGCAGCTCGCCCATTCCTATGAGGAAGAGTATGGAGGCTTTAGAGACGCTCCAAAGTTCCCCTCACCAGGTCGACATGAGCCCAAGTGGTCAGCTCTGTAGCTTTAAGGCCTGTAGAAAATTCTTTATTTGACTACCTGACAGCAAGTCTTTTCCTGTTTCTCTCTCTTGCCTATGCATCTGTAGTGAATCTGATGTTCCTCATGTCCTATTGGACTGTGAATCGCTCCACATTGGAAGGGGTCGAGGCTCTCCAGATGGCCTTGCACACGCTTCGCATGATGGCGCTGGGAGGCATCCATGACCACATTGCACAGGTATAAACAAACCAAACTAGTGTTGTAATTCAGGGTTTTTCTTTCTTGTTGTTGTTGTTTTTTTTTGTAACAGGATTATGAATGGCAAAGTATTGTAAAAAAAATTGATATATGAATAAATATTAAACACAGAAAAACAAAATTCAAACCACCAGGTTGAGTGGTAAAGATTCATGAAAAATAGGGAGTAAATTAACTGTCAGAAAAATTTATAAATTAACCCTAAATTCTGGCTGACAGGGTAGATGCTTTTAGTTCAGCTGATGCTCAGCTGATACAGTTTGTGACACTGGCAGCTGTCATGTAGCTTGTCCCCACCATTTCTGCTGACTCTGCATGCTGCTTTGCAACCCAACTCTACCCTGGCTCAACCTTTTTCTAGCATAATTAATGCCACATCCAATGTCCTTGAGGCCTGCTCTGTTCTGTGAGGTCTGCAGCATAACGTACTATATACAAGTATCCATAACATAAAATATTAGAAGCCTCTCATGAAAAACATCCACAGGTCTCTTTCAATCCATTCCATTTTATGATCATTTTAAATTCACTAGTAGAAACTGGCATGTTTAAGTTTAGGTGTGTTTTAATAAAACGCTGTTTTTCCCACATCTGTCAGAACTCATCAAAAAAGCAGTCTTAAAAGGGCATTTGTGCTCGAACAGACAAGGATACCAAGACAACCTGGAAGTTTACCCAGAAAACCAAAATATGTTAGTGCTATTTTGTGCATGTGGTCAGTGATGCCCAACCCATCAAATCATACAGAATGCAGTGGCGAGTCATAGAGATGCATGACAGACTGAATCAAAACTGTAGGGGAAAGCTCTTAAAAAGGGCATTTTGTACGGTTAGGACATTTTATTCATCAAGTAACAAGAAAATTAAATAAAAAGTTGTCAGAAGTGGTGCTTCTCTAATGTGCAAGCCTGGTTTGTTCATGTCAGACACAAAAACACACAGATGTACTCTTGGTCTCTTTAATATAATCGTGTTTTTAGTTCAAGTCAGATATACTTATGTTGTAGTACTGATACTTTCAACTAATTTTAGTGAGTAAAATTAAGCAGCCTCCCTCTTTATGTCTCTTTATCTCAGGGTTTTCATCGTTACTCCACAGACTCCTCCTGGCATGTTCCTCACTTTGAGAAGATGTTGTACGACCAGGCTCAGCTGGCTGTTGCCTACATAACAGCTTCCCAGGTGTGTGCAATTGTCTCTGTGTGGCTGTTTGTGTATCTGACAGTGTAATTAGCTCTGATCTTTCTCTCTTGTCTGCATAATTAATGTTACCCCCCAACCTAAAATCTCCAGCATAAGAGATGGCAAACATTTACTTTGTTTCAGAGTCAAATCAAACACTCACAGTGACAACACATGTGCTGTTATTGTGAGGCTTATTGTTTGGGCAATGGCCTACCAGAACATATTCTGTAATTTTACACATTTATTTCTTACAGTTTGAGCCCAAAGAGTTGTGATAACAGATTTCTTTCATCATCATTTATTTATTTATCTAGCACTTTAAAAACACACCTGGTAGACCAAAGTGCTGTACAATACTAATATGCACATAGTAATAAAACCAGACATAGCAAAAAAAAATAAAAAATTAATTAATGCGGCAAATGCGCCATCTCTCACTTTATGACATCTGGGATAGGGTCAGGCGCCCTGTGACCCAGAATTGAATAAGAAATGGATGAATTTCTTAAACTACGCAGTAATTTTGATGATCACTATCAAGGGCAGCAGTGATTAAACATCTAGTCATCTCAAGTGGTTTCACACATCGCTAATATAGTACAGTAAAAAAAGTATTGTAGATGTAATGCTGGAATTTTTTTTGCTTCCTCAAAGTCTGTATCAACATAGGTCCTAAAAATCCAGGAGTGGTCAGACTGTACTTTGTAACTTTCATTTTATTTATTTAGCCCTCAGTCAAAATGACTGTACTCTACTGTTTTTAGTACATCACTTCAAACACTTGACAGTGTTTTTCACTGCAGTGGGCAGCACTGAGTTATGATGCAGCAAACAACTTAAGAATCTGAATGCCATAGTTTTCAGTTTTCCCGTGAGTGCTTGCTGGGCTGGCCTGCTTTTAAGTCAGAGACTGAAAAACAAACCCTAATTAGGACACAAACTCAAACAAATAGAACTCTCATTGCGTACTGCACAGACCACTCCACGTGACAGTACCTGTGAGGTCATGTTAAGGTTAAATCATGTTGCTTTGGGAGGTGACTTGTGTGCGTTTCTGTTTTTCCAGGTTTCAGGTGAGCAGTTTTTTGCAGAAGTGGCTAAGGATGTACTGCTTTACGTCTCCAGAGACCTGAGCGACAAGGTGAGTCTGCCATTTCTGTGTGCACAACTGCTGTGTTGTTTTTGTGGTAATGGGAACTTCACCGTCATTGTGATGGTTTTGTAAATCAGCAAATAAAGAAACTATTTCACAAGAAATAGTTTCTTTTGGCTGCTTCTTTGGCATGAAGGGTCATCACAGCAGGTAACTTTAAAGGTTTAGTTTGGCAGAGCTTTTATACCGGATGTCCTTCCTGATATAACCCCAAAGAGGATTTATGTTTCCAGCTGAGCAAATGTGTAAACCCCTACACTGTGGAGCTAAGGGAGATATTTATGACACTAACCATGTTTATCTTTCTACAGTCCCAAAAAACTTTTTGGGGATTTTCTTACCTGCATGATTGAGCATGTGTCAAGACATCTTTCACAGACTTGGAGAATCAATGCACAGGCATATTAAAGCCAACACTGTATTAAGTTCCTTTCTATGGATTCTTTTTGTTCATGCATCCTCAAGGTCACGAGGTGGGACCCCGTTGATGAATAGCCTCTTAAACTCTTGCTTCTCGTCTAAGGGTCAAGCCTTTTTCCCCCCCCTTTTGTTAAATGAGGCGACAGAAGTGAACGTGAAGTGAATTGGGCACACAATTAAAACCAGACTTGTTGCAATAATAATATTCCCTAAGATTTATTATGCAATTACAGGCTAATGAATTGGTGCTGCAAAGATCATTTTCTACAGACTTCATGCTGCTTTTTTGTAATACAGTGGGTGGGATCTTCCCACAGTGAGGGAGACTCCGTGATTGTCCTCAGGCTAAATTACTGGAGTACTTTTTTACTTCAGCTGGTTCCCTGTGAGCTGTGTGGGTCCCAGTGATCTTCAGTCTCTGTATTTCCTTTTTAACTACCTGAAGCTTGATTTATCTTGCATCATAGGGGTTGAAATTAATCATTATGTGTTTTTTACAGTAGATCTATTAAAACCCTGTTAAACTTTGTGGTTGGCAAATCTCTGTGTTTCCCAACCACATTAATAGGCCAGTTATGATCTTAAAAAAGTGCAGTAGCAGTGCAGTGTTTAAGTCTTCATTTTAGGAAAAGGATGCTAAACCGTCCTGCTTTTCCTCCAACCAACTGCCGCGGTTTTAGGTTTTCATGTGTTTTTACTTTCCGAAGCTTTCCGAATTAATGCGTTTGTGAAATTTCAGTGTCTAAAATAATTTTTTCATGTTCTCAGATAGTTGTTTTTCATCATCATGTCACAGCAACAGAAAGAGTGTCGTGAATACTGTTGCATGTTTCTCAACTGATCTACAACAGTGCATTTTGTCTCTCGTCCTTAAAAAGCACCTCTCCCTCCTCCTGCCCTCTCTGTGTGTTTGTGCGTTCTCTGAAACAGTCTGGGGGCTTCTACAGTGCAGAGGATGCAGACTCTGTCCCGGCTTCGGGGGGACCAGAAAAGCGAGAGGGGGCTTTCTGCGTGTGGACAGCCTCTGAAGTTCGGGAGCTCTTACCAGACGTGGTGGAGGGCACCGCTGGTAATGCTACGCTGGCTGACATCTTTATGCATCACTATGGGGTCAAAGAGCAAGGCAATGTTGCTCCAGAACAGGTACTTTTGTTCTAGTTGTGTTGGTCTTGCTCAATGAATGAAAGTGAATATGCACAGAATGATAATGGTTTATTATACTTCAGTCACAGAGGACTTTAAGGTGACTTGATAGTGTCAGTAACCATTAACATGAAAAATGCTGCAGTCAGTGTGGATCAGTATGTGTGAACACCCTCTTATTCCCTGTACTGTGTGTTGCCAGGACCCCCACGGGGAGCTGCAGGGCCAGAATGTGCTGATCGTGCGTTATTCAGTCGAGTTAACAGCTGCTCGCTTTGGCATCACTGTCGAGAAAGTCAATGAGCTCCTGGCCTCTGCCAGAGCCAAAATGGCCGTAGTGAGAAAGAGTCGGCCACGCCCTCATCTGGACACCAAGATGTTGGCCTCCTGGAATGGTAAAGTTTACACTACAGCACTGAAATGGTCACTTCCAGTCATTCAAATGGCTCTTAGGCTCAGCATCATTGATTTTTCTGTTTAATAGATGAGTAATCGTAATGAGTGACAGCAGTAATAGGGCTTGATGATATGAACAAAAACATTTGAGGGTGAATGGTGCAGCTTTATATATATTAAGGCCACTGAGTGTTAAAAATTTATGCAAATTTATAGGGAACAAAAGACCACTAAAAACACACGTTCACTTTAGTCAAGGAACTATATCGCTTTACTTTTCAGGTTTAGGTAGGGAAGAAATTCACATTTTCCATTTTCTGGAATCAATAACTCATGAGGAGCGTTTTTAGAACTCCAACAGCACCTTTTTCAATCATTTTATTCAGGACGTCAACAGACCACAAGTTCTGTTTTATTAAAACGAGGCAGACCTGGAGCAATAATACACATTAATAAGTCATATGTAGCTGACTGTGAGAGGAATGTGCTGCGACCGTCTACAGAGTGCAACACTCAGCTGTGTTAGCTTTGCACTCATACAGTGAAGTGTCACTGAAATCACTTTATCCTTTTTGGGCACACTACAAGTCTTTGTTTGTGAAAACCTGTTCCTGTTTTCTTTTTTTTTTTAATCAATTCAATTATATTTATATAGAATAGAATAGCCTTTTATTGTTAATGTACACATACAACGAAATTGTGGGTGCTCCACACCAACTGTGCTGGAGCAAAATCTAAACTGTACACAGCAGGAATAAATAGCAAACAGGAGAAATATATACAATCAAGAGGGATTTATACAAAACAAGAGAAAGGCACACAATAGAGAACAAAATAGTTGCAAAGTGCTTGGATGTAGAGCAAAGAAAAGACTGCATGTGAGAATGGCCCAGGGGAAGAAGCTGTTTGTAAGTCTGGAGGTGCGGGAGGGCAGCGGGGCAGGAAATTGGTGGTCGGGGTGCACCTGTGATAGATCTGGTTTTCCTGAGATGGGAGGAGCTGGTGATGGGCTCAAAGGGTGGCAGAGGGCAGCCAGTGATTTTTTTGAGGTGGTGTTAATTACCCTCTGTACAGCCTTCCTGATCTCTTTTGTGGCCCCTGGGTACTAAACAGCCAGGCAGCAGGAGAGCATGCTCTCCACTAAGGAGCAGTATATAGCTGTCAACTCAAAACAGTCCCCTGAAGGATCTTTATATTGTAAAGTAAAGAAGCTACGAATAATAGAGAATAAAGCAAGAATCAGACGACCATCTGCGAACAAGCACTTTGGCGACAGTGGGAAGGAAAAACTCAATTTTAACCAGAAGAAACCTCTGGCAAAACCAGGGTCAGTGAAGGGCAGCCATCTGCTGTGACTGGCTGGGAGTAGGGGAGGAAGATGGGACAAAAGACAGACTGAAAGTGAGCCACAGATTAGTAATAACTAATGATTAAATGCAGAGCATTATTGGAGCACTATGAGCTCTGTAAGATAAGATGAGAAATAATTAGAAATTCATTTAGTAACTTCCTGTTCTCATAAATTTGCCTAAATATGGTCATTTTTTGGACGATAGAAAATTTACTCCCTTCTCAGCCCCCCTCTTTAGTCCTTTAATCTTTTTTTTTTTTTGTACCTTAAATGGACCAAACACTCCTAGAGTGGTGATACCCAATACATATGTCTGCATTTTGTACAAAACCAAATTTGAGATATCAGAAGTAATTTTGCCTGTTTAGCTGGGGATAGATAATTTTATCTGAAGTAAGGCTGGCTGAGGTTGTGATCCACGGTCAGTTTGTTTTCTTCAGTAGATGCCAGTGACAGAAACTCAAACAGACAGCACACAGCACAGAAACTATAGCCATGTACTGCTGAGGACACAGTCAGCGCCAACATGGATTTCAGCCACAAAAAGGGATCAATATCTGTTTAAGTGTACTTTATGTTTAGGACATTTCCAGGCTTTTACCTGAAGAGAAGGCGGTGCACTCAGTCATTGACAAAACCAGTAATTTTACCTCCCAAAACAGCAGTAAACACAGTTGTTTGTGTGCTCCTACCTTGATTGGTCAGTTAGTGTTGTGTGACTGGTGAGTTAGGGGCCTTTCATCTGAATTTCATCTGTCCCACAGAGTAACTGCCAACCTACACTTTCTTTCTTAACACAAATCAACAAATGTCATCTGTTGTTACATACAAAGTTTAGCCATTAATTTAATATAAAGCTTCAAACTTAGAGTTACTATTTATTGTTGGACCTGCACTGTGTCCCCCTCCATGCTGCAGGAGAAAGTTGGACAGCGACCTTTAGGTAACAGTGCTAGAGTGCACCACTGGAAAAGCTGTGACTTTAAACATCAAACTATGTCACTATGAAGGACATGCACAAAAAACAATGTCAGTGACGTAGTAGTTCAAGCGTTTCACGATCGGTCACAGTTCTGAGCTTATTGCCTCAAAATGACAAAAGTGATGTTGACCTTTGGGCACAGTTTGGGTTAAGACCAATAAGTTGATCACTGTGTGTAAGTCTGATTAAATTCTGACCATTAACACAGGAGGAGTCGCGGGTCTTGTAAATTGTGCACGGCTGTGGCATGAGCTCATCGATCCTTTGGCTGGATTAGCTAAGTATCGATAGACAGCTCAGCCTCGTAATCAGAGGCAGTGATCTGTCTGATCAGGGATTCAGGTTGCAGACATGATCAAAAGTGTAACACAGCGTGCCAGAAAGGAGAAGTTTTTCTGTGGGATGTTCCACAATGTGACCATTAATTCCACAACGGAAACAGACACCTTACATTATATTAGTTGATAGATTATGAGCACTTCTTCTTTTCTCAACAAGACAGTTTGATTCTGATTATGTCAAGTTAGCACAAGCAATTTTATCAGACTGTCATATATTTACAGTAAATACCGCTCATATTCACGAGCACGCCGTTTTTCTGCAGTGTCAAAGTGTGCGTAGATTATTACAGACACTTGTCATTTGGGATTAATGTGATGTCTCCTTAGCACTGTTTGTCCTGCACATTGTCTCAGATTCGATTAATTACAAGAGAGCACACATACACAAGTGCACCCACGAATTTGGCTCCCGGGGCTGACGTCTCAGACAGTGTGTGTTAGTGAGGTAATGAAGCTCGGCGATCCTGAGAACTTTCCAATTAGACGCAAGACTCTCTGTCTCCTCTCTAATGAAGAAACCTTGCCATTAATCACCTGTCCTCTGCTGCAAAACTTTGAAGGCGAGGCTGTGCACTCACTAGGCTTTGATTTACTACATAAAAGACGGGTGGAGGGAAAGCGGGAGGAAGGATGGATGCAGATAGGGACAAGAGGAGGAACAGGGGGACTTCAAAGGAGAGAGGGGGGGATAACTAAATTGGAAGTGTGGCAGGGGCTACATGTTGATACCTAAGCAGTGAGTATGTCATTTTATTACTTGGTGACCTCAATACACTCACCCTCAACGACATCACCGTTACTTTCTCCCTGTTAGGCCTGATGCTGTCGGCCTACGCTCGCGTCGGAGCTGTGCTGGGAGACAAGGACTTGGTGGAGAGAGCAGTGAAGGCTGGGGGTTTCCTAAAGGAGCACCTGTGGGACGCTAAGCAGCAGACCATCCTTCGATCTTGTTACCGTGGAGACCAGATGGAGGTGCAACAGATGTAAGCGAGAGAAAGTTTTGATGGCTCAGTTTTTAAAAGCTTTAATTCAGCGATCATAGTCAGAATGAGAATCTGATGACAGCTGGTTGCTTGATGCTTTTGTTCACATACATGTCAGACTAGACCCACACAGTCCTGCAGTTTTTGAATATTTAACTGTGACTGAAAGCTGTCAGAGGATGTTTGTCCTAACCTTGATTTGGATTTTTGAGAGTCTCAGAATTTTATTCCTGATTCGATGCATCTGTAGTACAAAATTCTCTCAGAGACACTGCATGTGTGCTTTTTTCCTGAAGTTTAGCGAGCCTCACGGGTAGGGCATAGAGTCATTGCAGGTGAGGCGGGAAGGTTATGGAGTGAAACCAAAATGAAATGAATATGATTTATGGAAAGTAAAGGTTTGCTGAACCCACTGCACTAAACAAGTTGTGCTAAATTGAGTCCTCCTCGGCCGAGAGAGTTGTTGAATGTTTTAGTTCTTATGAGAAAGCAGAAGACCACAAAGGAAATACTCCTGTATTTGTCTGAGTTTCCTTCGCTTTCTTGAAGTGTTTGCTAGATTTATAAGGTCTGATCCAGTATTTGGGCCCACAAAAATGAAAAGCCTTAGCTGATTTTGGGTTTGGTTGATTTCTCCTTTAACATATTCCTGTTGTTGTGCCTCTAGACTGTTTTGAGCATTTTGCTATTTTTAGGTTTTAGTGGACACTTGTGCCTTCATCTACTGGATCTTCTCCAGCGGTGATCCTTCAACTTGATTTTCATTTTTGGGTGGCAGACAGAGTTCCCAAGGTGGCCGAGTTGTAATCAACGCGTTGCCAGAAAAAGTTTGAGTTTGCTGGAACACATCAGAGTTCTGGTTGTTTCCGCTGGAAGTTCTCTCAGGGGCCTTTAGACGTCACATCATAACGTCAGGTTTCTAATCTCTCACTCTGTGGTCTAGAATCTCAGTCTTTCTACCTTCAGGCTGATGACTGTGTGGTCTTTGAAGACTGTCCTGTTAGAACTGGAGACCCAGGCCTAATTGCAAGGGATGATCCTCCACACCAGGATTTTTCCAGATGTTGATGATTGAGATGATATGAGGTTATAATCTTGAGCTTCTCAATGCCAAATGACAGACAGCTTTGTCCCTTTTGTACTGTGTGACATTGTTAAATAGGATGTGGAAAATGTTTTTTTTTCCACTTTGTAGTAGAGGAGCGGTACGCAGTAGTTCTGTACTGAGATGGCTGTTTATATGCAAACAGGAAACGGTTATATCTGGATAAATCAGGTTACTCTGAGAAATCAGAGAACATGTTCACATGCATTCTAGTAACCTGGTTATAGCAAAGCCACATTTACATGCTGCAGGTCAGTAATTAGTTTTTCTCTTTTAGTTTCTATCATTTTGTCTATCTGAGACAAGACTGGCCCTGTGTTAACTGGGTTAAAGACGCCTGTTGAATGACTCGTGATGAGTTTTTTTCAGCCTACATAGCAACAGTACAAAATCTGTTTTGTCTTAGAATGACTGTTTTCTTTTACGGGGTGCCGTGTTTGATTTTTAACCTTTTACAGTTAAGCCTAACATGAAGTGGAAGATGGCACAGAGTTAAGCTAATACTGTTAAGCTTAAGCTCTGGTTTTTGTGTTGAAATGGCCAAGACGACCAAATACAAACAGAATTTCTCATCAGTGTGACAAACACAGCGGAACGAACAGAGTCTCTTGTTGATTCTACACCATCACTCCAGGTGTCCCCGTTCTGTTGGCTAGCCCTATGTCCTAGTTACTACGAATGAGTGAGTATGCAGTATGGCCGAATCAGCAGAAAAATATGCCAGGAAGCCCACATCACAGCATGAAATGCATGCAATTTTAAACACACATATAAACAGATAGACACCACGAGCCTCTGTCTTCCACAGCCTGTCTCTCATTCATAATGTTCCAATTCAAGATGGGGTCGGCACTGAGAGTGCTTACCAAAGCCCTTTTCTCAGGGCTGGTTTACTTTCTGTACATTGGTAAATCACTCTGTCACACCAGGCCAGGCACATATGGGCCGTGCGCTAATTTACCAGGAGGAATAGTAGGTGCTCGGGCTAACTGGGTTAATAGGCCGTGGTAATGTTGAGGAGCTGATCATGAAGAGTATCACCAAGGTCTTTAGGAACCAAAGGAAGGCATGACAATGGATCCAGTATAGCCATGGCAAGTGGGTCACTGGTGATGTTGACTCATTACTCAGGCTGCTGCTGTAGCCTCTTCAGCACTACACTTAGCAGAGATAACTTCTCAATTAGTTGTTTTTTTAAGATTTCTTTTTGGCATTGTAGAATTATTAGACTGCAGTCTACTCTGTACTATCCAAAGTAGGAAGAAAGGGTGGGGCCAGATGAAATTGTGTGGGGAGAAATGGAGCCCAGACCCTTGTTGGGGCATATGTATTGCCTGGTCAACCAGCTGACCTATAGTGGAGCCCCCTAATTTATTTTATTTTGTTTTAGTTTAATGTTAGCCTTGCATCAGGCTCGCGACCTGTCCAGGGTGTACTCTGCCCGTCGCACTATGGTAGCTGGGATAGGCTCCAAGCCCCACCCCCCCAATGCCCACCAATTTGATTTGATTTTTAATGATGTTAGTTTTAAGGATGGTTTGTTTTCATTCAATGACTGTTGCAGTTTAAATTAAATGTTATTTTCTTGTGCTAAAATGAATCTGGCTTTTTAAGCATGAGCCTGTCATTACTGTGTGGGTCTGTTTGCTTGTTTTTCCAAAGATCACAATAATATGTAGTAATGCAAATTCAAACTTTTTGAGCCAATAATCAAATGTGATTTTGACTGCACTCTAATAGTGTCATAAGCAGTTATTCTTTTTCCACCTCACTGCCGTTCAATTACAGTTTTATACACAATCCCACACACGCTGATGGGCTGGCGCATAAAGAGCAATTAGATGAGGGCATTCAAATTAATTTCAAGGGTCTGCAGAGTATCATAGGCTTCTGTTAGGGTTAGCTACATTGTTTTATTAATGACTCAGAAAGGGGAATCTCCTTCTGTGTGTTTTATTTTTGTCTCTCCTTTGTTCACAATTGTGTTTTTTCATATGTAATTGACTCCTCAAGCAGCACGTTCTGTGGGACGAGCAAACATATTAAATTAGACTCGAACATAAAGGTCAGTGCTGTTGTTAAAACGATGGGACCCGTTGCCTTTCTGTGACCCACATCACCCCAGTAAGTTCCTCCATCTAAGCTTTATTTAGTGGGAAGTGAGTGCCTGTGTATCTGGGAACCATGATGAAGCCATCATTCTAAAAGTGTCCCCCGCGGTGCTATGATACAGTAGACTGACAAGGTGTTTTATCTTTGCTCTCAGGGAAATGACTCATTTAACACGGGCTGTTGAAGGTGTGAATAAAAAGGCTGTCGAGTATTTCTGAAAGGCTTTTTACATTTTTGTGTTTGTGTGTTAGTGAGGTCGTCTTTAGCGCTCGCCTGTGGCTGGAGTCACCCCAGCCAGATGACATGTTGCTGTGTGACTGAAAAGGCTGTTGTCCTCTTTTGTTTTGTTTTTTAAACTAAGAAAACAAAAATGATTCAGAAGCTGGCTTAGTAATGTCTGTGTGTGAGTGTAGGGAAGGTTGAGATTGTGTTCTATTGAAAAACAATATTTGATGTGTCTGATGTTAAATGTAATTTAAAATGTTTTTTTGTTTTTTTTAAGTTTTCAATTTAAAGACTTTGCACCAGCAGACACTCTGTGCCAATACTGCAGTAGTTTTCTAAATCACTGCATAGTGTGGGTGTTTCTAAAGACCCAGACTTCATGAGGCTCATGCAACAAAGATTTTAGGGAAATAAACTTCTCATTATTATATATCAGGGCTCTAGACTAACTTTTTGCCATGGGCGTACCGGCACAAAAGTTAGGCGCACACAAATTGTATAATAATTTATATAATCTAATGTGTTTTTCTGGATACACTGGGCTTTTTCAGCATTCAAAGATTGATGACACCGTGTCAGAGCACTGGCTATGAATTTCAGAAGGATCAGGCCTTAACTTAACAGAAAAGTTAGCAATAGTTCTTTTCCTATTACAGCTACATCCACTTCTGTCGTGCCTAGGCTGCTCATAGGGCTGGGTATCATCACTGATTTCTATAATCCATTCGATTCCGGTTTTCAAAGTCCCGATTCGATTCAACTTAGCCTCAGACAGTCAGAAATATTATAATTCTGATCATTTATCAGTACTGACTTCATCAGAATTGTGAACATCACAGCAGATGCCTTTGTGTGAAAGTAACTGAGAATAAAACACAGAAAAACATGAAGGAGATTTCCCTGGTCTGGCTTTTTATAGCAGATAACCTTAAAAATATTCTACAATGTTCTGCATATAAAGTTTAAATTTCTTCAGTATTGAACAACAGAAAAAATAGGCTTTCTTGTCCGAGGTCATTTAAGTGAAAAAAGAAAAAGACAGCAGCCACAGCGCTGTAAACAACGGTAGACTGGTGGGTAATAAGCGAATGAATAATACAGAAAACAGAGATTGGAGACGGGAAACTGTTCTTGAAGTACAGAGAGAGAGAGAGAGAGCTAGCTGTGCATGAAGTGTGATTTTAATAGTCGTGGAAGCAAAACAGCAAAATTCAGCTCGGTGAATTTTGGCTGGAGAGACAAAACCTGCAGCTCAGAATCAGCGCAAAAAGACGTAAACACAGCGGACCGGACGCATCAGGATCGCTAAGCTCCGACAGCGTGTCCGTCTACGGGCCGTCGGGTGAGAAAGCCGAGAAAGACAAAGCTGATTCTGATGCGTCGGCTCTGTGTTTACGTCTTTGTGTAGAATCCGTGTACCTGCTCTCATCTGCTGTTTGGTTGTTGTTGAAATGGTTTTGTGGCGTTTCTGGCAAAACACAGTTATATTTAAAAGTCAGGATTTAATGAATTGATATCGCTTTATTCAAGCTACTCACCTCCCACTTCCACCTACACTTTCTACTGGACCACGGCCAATCAGAGTGGTCCCGCCCCTGACTATCTCTGATTGGTTTAGTCCACGATAGGGGCAAAATGTGTGTCTGTTGTTGACCACAGGGAAGGTTGCATATTTATTTTATTTTATTTTTTTTGCTACCCGAACATTTGGTCTCACAGGTGCAACCAAATGTTTGTTTTTTTAGTCGCACCACTGAAAAATTTGGTTGCATTTGTGACCAAATTGGTCGCACTCTAGAGCCCTGTATATTAGGGGTGCAACGATACACAAAATTCACGGTTCGGTTCGATACTTTGGTGTCACGGTTCGATATTTTTTCGATACAAAAAAATGTTCATGCCTTTTTAATTTGTCATTTATTAAAATTATAAATATATATTTTAACACAAAAGTACAGTTTTTAAATTTAACCCTAACCCTTGTGCGTGTTTTTTATTTTGACAGCGAATGCGCACCTGCGGACCACTTATGTGCAGCCCTGGTTATTTAGCTCGTCATATTGCAGCCACAGAAATTCTTTTGTCCATGAAACCATAAAGCTGCACTTTCTTTTTGCCTTATAGTCTGATTTGTCATAACTTCTCCGTTTTGTGGTAAGCTTTTCTTTGGCTGTCACTTCTTCACCCCGACCTGTCTTATTTGGCTCAGCAGAACAAAAATATATATCCTGCTGCTTTTACACACTCACTCACATAAGCTCAACGATTCTCTGTGCGATCAACCTCTCACATGTTTAAACTTGCTGCGGGAGATTTCACTTGTCATGTTTGCATAGTAAGCTAACGATTAATAAGACGATGTCAGAGGAATTGGTGCACAAATTATCATCACTCACAGATCAGTGCTGTCATTGCAAAGTGAAAGCAAAAAAACAAGCGCAAATTCAAACGCGATTTCAATATGTCACATATTGACAGTGGCTCAACGATGCCAATGACATAATTACCCAGCTACATTTCTGAAAGAATGCAAAAGCATTGACATATATTTTTCCTACAATAGCCCGACGGGCAGGGCAGAGAGATTTTTGTAGCCCGACTGGAAAGATCGCTAGCTCCGGGACGTCGGGCTAGCGATTTTGCAAGCCCTGTATCTGATTGAGGAATCACTCATCTTTGGAAAAGAGAGTTTATTACAGAGAAATGTCTCTTTCCAAAATAAAAGCTATACTATCCGCTTCTTCTGGGCTATATTCTCAGCAGCATAAGGAGAATCATGTGCTAACAGCTGTCTAAATGACTCGGCTAAAGTTAGTAGCATGCTTGTTGTTTTGGTCTTTGCACTAGGATGATGTCGGCGTAAATGTGCAGTCATATTCGTTGTGTTCCCACTAGTGCTTTCAGGTTAATCTCGTTGAAATGACCTTAACGCCACAACACGGCAAATCTCCGTTAACGAGCTACCGCCGATCACCCCGTGCATGGGGCTAGACGGCCAACACGTTAACGAGCTAACTGCGCTAACACACTAGTTAATTAAGCATTGCATGGCACATCCAACATACTGTTTTACTTTAGTCCATGACTCGCTTACCTTCAGGGTCATACGTCACATGAAAACCAAAATAATTCCAAACGCCAGATCTGAATGAGGGTGGGGGAGGTCCACTTCTGTCTCGCTAGCTTGCCCTGCGCTCTTCCTTCTGACTATGCTGTCTGTGTGGAGCGCTCAGTGGATCTGCGCTCGACAGTGCAGCCTAGGCGGAGTAGTCGAACGCAGATTCACTGAGCGCTCCACACAGACAGCATCGTCAGAAGGAAAGTTGATAAAATAAATTACAAATGTTGTATTGTTCGATACATATGCGTACCGAACCGAAAGCACTGTATCGAACGGTTCAATATCGATACGAATATCGTTGCACCCCTACTGTATATATATCTGCTTTATAAGCTCAGTACTGTGCAAAAGTATTAAGCCAGTGTAAAATTTCTTTATATTTTGTAAGGAAAGTGGGAAATGAATGCAGCGATTTACTGAAACGTGCAAGCATAAATGGAAGTACAGAATATGAGGCAAAAAACGAGTTTTCACAGTTCTGTCAAGCAATAACTGGAATGACCAGATTTATTCTTCAGCACAGCTTGAATTCTTATGGTCAAGATTTCTTATAATTTCTTTATCAATCTCAAGGAATATTTGTCTGGGCATCTTAAAGGACTTGTAACAGGGTTCGTACGGGTGCTTGAAATACTTGAAAATGCTTGAATTTTAATGTTGTCTTTTCAAGGTTTGAAAAGTGCTTGAATTTTTAGATGTGGCGCTTAAAAGTGCTTGAAAGTGTAACTGTATTTCATTCACCACAAATAACTATCTGATTGAATAGTTTTCTTATCAGATAGAGAAATAATATGAGTCGCAAAATGTAAAAGAAAAATTTCCCCGCCTGGGCTGCCTTGCGTCTGTTTCAACGTGTGACCCCGCCCTTCCCTCGGACAGTCAGGGATGAGTGCGCTAACATACCTGTAGGTTGCTGTTTTAACGAGTGTTTGATGGAAAACGACAATGGCGGAGTTTGCGCTCTCCAGTCGCGTGATAGGTGAGTCCTAGTAAATAATTTTCCAGTACGTGTACCCCATATGGAAAAGATATATAGATACAAACTTTATAAGATTTATGTCTTGTGTGAAACTTGTATGAAAAGTATACAAGAGTGAAAACAGGTATAAGATCCCTTAAAAATTATATAAATGAAACTTGTATGTTTTGGATACTTACTTACATCAAGTTGCTGGAAGGAATTATTTATGTTTCAAACTCAAAAAACAACGGCCTCCTTGTTGACAAAAAAAGAAATCACATTCCTTTAATTATATAGAAAATATAAGAAAAATCATTTATTTGCTATGTGTAAACATAGATCAGGGCCTCCTCCTGGTGGGACATGCCTGGAAAACCTCACCCAGGAGGCGCTCAGGAGGCATCCTTGTCAGATGCCCGAACCACCTCAGCTGGCTCCTTCCAATGTGGAGGAGCAGCAGCTGTACTCTGAGCCCCTCGCGGATGGCTGAACTTCTCATCCTATCTCTAAGGGAGAGGCCAGCCACCCTTCGGAGGAAGCTCATTTCTGCCGCTTGTATCCGCGATCTCGTTCTTTCGGTCACTACCCACAGCTCGTGGCCATAGTTGAGGGTAGGGACGTAGCTCGACCAGCTGCATCACTGCGGCCGCAGCACCAATCCATCTGTCGATCTCCGGCTCCCTTCTCCCATCACTCGCGAACAAGACCCCGAGAACCTTGAACTCTTCCACTTGGGGCAGGAACTCATCCCCGACCCGGAGTGGGCACTCCACCCTTTTCCGGCTGAGAACCATGGCCTCAGATTTTACATAATAATCTATATGATAATTGTAAGTTTACAGGGACTGAAACGAGTGAATAAAGTGGCCAAAGCCACTTCAGAAAGCCTCAGAACTTTTGCTTAAGGCCAATTTAAAAATAACAAGAAATTCTGGCTCCATGGAAACAAAAGAAAAGAGGGGGTGGGTCAGGACTTTTGCAGAGTCCTATACTGAGTTGAGTTGGCTAGAACAAGTGCTTTTGCTCTGTGTATGAGTTGGCTCATGAATCAACCTTTTTTCTGGGGAAGAAAAGCTGCTCTCTGACTCCTCACCTCTCCATGACCTTAAAGTCATGCACTTTATCTTCTCCAAGTGCACCTCCTGTTTTTAGCCTCTTGACTGCCAGCCATCAGCCTCTCATGTCACAGCACTGTCTGGCCTCCTGTCACTGTCTGTCCCCATGCACTCACTCAGACGGGGTGCCGTCATAAGAATTGGAGGGGAAAAGTAGCACGGGGTGGAATAACCCTCGAATTTAGAAGCTGATTTGCAGCGACTCAGTAGCAACATTGTGAAGGACAAGTCTTGAACAATAAATCAGAATCAATTTCACTGACAGAGAATGATTTGTAAAATTGGGAGAAATTGGTAGGACAAAAGAACTCGTCTGAATGAAGTGGAGGAGGAAAAAGAGTTACTTCAAACGTCAGACATCTTATGTATGCAGTTGTGTGCCTATGCGAATGTCTTTGCCTTTACTATAGAAACACAGATGAATAATTACACATTGAGAAAAATGCTTCAGGAAGTGATTATACTGAGCTAACTATGTGTATTATAATGTAGTCGTGGATTGTCCCAAGTATCTCCTTCAGGCTCTTTGTAATGCCTTTGTAAGGCAGTCCCTCCACATTTCTTTAGCATCTGGCTGTTTGTCTTCCTCAGGCAGTATAAAAAAGTAAAGCATGGAATGGAGAAAAAAACAAAGCAAAACTAGTTCACTAAAAGTAACTCATGTCAACGCATCGATCAATAAATTCTTAATGAAAATTGTCCTGATTCCCACTCTCCTCTCCTGCTCCTCTGATTTTCACTTTCTCCCTCTGCGCTCTGCAGATCTCCGTCTATCTCTGGCTTCCTGGATGACTATGCCTTCATCATATGTGGTTTGCTGGACCTGTACGAGGCCACGCTACAAACAGAGTGGCTGCAGTGGGCTGAGGAGCTGCAGCTGAGGCAGGACGTGTTGTTCTGGGATGATCAGGGCAGAGGCTACTTCTGCAGTGATCCCACTGACAGCACAGTACTGCTGCAGCTGAAAGAGGGTGAGGGATGGATGCATTAGCTGCTTTTTTTTTTTTTTTACCATAGGAACATTTGAAGATGCTCAATGCACTTAACTTCAATAAGAACTACAATATCTTACCCCCAGCAAAGTCCCTGCTCAGGGGGGTTGGCACATTCTGGAAGTTTAGGGATGTGTGAGTGGTGACTGCTTTTTGTTAGGATAACTTACTTTTTATAAAGATAACATTTAAATCTGGCCCAAGCACAGCTTTTGATTGCTCTGTTTGAGCAAGACAAGAGAGGCTTACACAGCTGGAACGTCTGGTTTGCCATGTTTTTAGAAAGTCTTGTCAGAATAGCTGTTTCTACATCAGTGAACTAATTTGCCTAATCTCTGAGGTTCTTCAGACTGAAGTGGAATCACATATGAACAACAGTGTAAAGGAACCTTTTCTTTCTTTGAAGTTTCAGGGACAGAATAGGTACCTGGAGTGGAAATGTAGGTGCTGATAGATTGGTAGATCATCTCAGTATGGGTGTTGAGGCAAACATGATTTCTTTCTTATAAAATGAAAATAAACTACTTAGATATCTGAAATCTCTGTTATCTTACCTGTGTCTACAATATTAGTAGTGAATTTAAATACATAACTCTGGAAGACATTACCATCATGTCAGAGCATGATGGTAATGTCGCCTGTGGCAATTAGGAATCCGCAAGGAGTGTGATTTTACAGTGTCATAGAGCGGACAATTTGAGTGATTGTACTCTGAGCTATAGTGATTCATACGTCTTTTGTTTCTAAAATATGAAAGCCAACAAAAACATCACAGTTTGTATTTAGCATTTTTTGTGACTCATACTGAATAACTAACTTCTTCTGTTTAAAAACTTGCTAGTGTTTTTGAATGTTGTATTTTAACCCTCTAGAAATCTAACTGCTCTGTAAAGTTTCAACATACACTACATATAAGAGATATAATGTAGCTACCTTAATGATCTCACACACACACACACACACACACACACACACACACACACACACACACACACACCGACCGATCTATAACCACTATATGAACCCTATAGTCAGCTCCTCTGACTTTAAGTCCTATGGATAATATACAGTTTATACAAAGAGGCAAATTAGCCATGGAGTCAAAAGTGTGTTAAATGGAAGTCTGTGGTCTTGAATAGCTTTAAGTGGGTCTTCAAGGAACAACAGTTTTGATATTAGACCTGAAGATTTGCCCAGATTAGTAACTAAAAGGAGCACGAGTGCTCGAATGCAGTGATTGTGTTGTTAGATGAGCACAGAGGTGATCAGGAAAAGTCTTTAACGTCCATTCTCCTGGGCTCACAAATGTCTGTAGAAAACTTAGGGTAATTTTGTTAAGCAGTCATGTAATGTTTTTTTTTTAAGCTTCCAGCTGCTCCTGTCAAGCAGTAGAAAAATAAGTCAAGTGATTAACAAACTGAGAAGGGTTCAAGCTTTGGATACACATGGAGTCAAATGTGACATCAGAAAATGATGCCAGTCGACTAAGCAACAGGCCGAAAGTGCTACAGGCATGTACACACATCTGCTGTAATATTGGAAGTTCTGTTGAGCTGTTAGAACATAAATAACAAACTGGTGCTGCTACTGTGGGGCATGTGGCAAGTGTGTTTAAAGATGCAGGTTGGATTGACAAACAGGTGAAAGATTAATAGCACTACTGCAGAATACCGCTGCGGCTCAGGCAAAGTGTGAGGATGTAGCTCAGAGAGATGAATAAATACTAAGTTTGAGATGTGTCTGCAGAATTGGAAATTGGCAGAAGTTGACCACACTGAGTTAAACAAACAGAGGAGGCATGAATGGATGCTGAGTTACTGGATGAGCGTAATCATTAATTGCTCATCTTTTCATGTACCGTCCATCTCTTTCTCGCCTATGTATATCTTCCACCTTATTGATCGATTTGGATCTTAACACGATGGAAGCCTCGTCTGTAATATCTCTGTCAGTCTCCCTCTATTGCTACACTTTAAATGTTAGTGAAAAGGCAAGAAGGCACAGATTGGTGGATAGACTGATGAATAGCTGGAGGATAAAAGAGGGGAGCAGAGGAGTATTGACCTCCTCCTATCTACCTTCAGCACTGTAAAAGCCTCACTCATTCAAGCTGAACCTCTTCAACTTGAAAGCACTCAAAGACTGATGCTCTGATTCTTCGGCTACTTTGATCACCAGGCCTGTCAAATATGTCTTCTTTCTGTCTCTCAGTCCATCTGCTCCTGACAGGCTGGAACAGGACGACAATCTGCAGTGGGAATCTCAAACCCACCTTCTGCTTCTGCCTGCTCTCATCTTGCTTACATCTTCATTCTTTTCCAATTATTACATGTTCTTCCTTGCTGCCCTCGTACTTACCTTTTAGCCTTGTAGGGTTTGTTTCTTTTCCTTCCTCAGTATGGGCCTTTTCATGTTGATTACAAATATAAGCACAATTGGGCCGCAAATAGTTTTCCTTACAAACAGTACTAGAGTGTTGTTTTGTTTCAGGCTATTCGATAAATAAAAATCTGTTTTCTGCTTGAGGAAATGAAACCCAACCCAGAAACAATCCTACTGATTTCCCAGTGACTGAAGTCTTGTCTTTGACCTGGTCCTGTGCCTCAGCTTTACAATGATTTTGAACCTGGTAAATGACAAAACAGGTGGCATTGCATTAGACTAGCATTAGCATGGTGCAGGAAACCTTTGAGGACAATATTTTCAGCAATATCTAACATAATATAAGTGATTGATGGAGCTGTGATGAGATGTGGGACATTTGGGCCAGGCCCCTAGTGGACAAGCTGTGTAAGGCCAGTATTTATGTGTTTGTTCGTTATTTATCACAAATGCACTGAAAATATCTGATCTAATCTAAAATTGGCATATAACTGTAGAGAATAAATTGAATGATTAAAAAGGTTAGAAATAGATTGAACAAGGTACACGAATGGCCACTAAAAATGAAAAATGTTGTCTAACCTTGTTTTCCACTAAGAACTTAAACCTTTCCTGTAACTACTATTATGGGTTGCTGGCCATCCCAGAAGTTTGTGCTTAGTTTTGGTGATTAAAATATTAGTGCCTTCTTAGCTGTTACTTAGAGTGCGGGAAAATATTATTTGGTCACTTGCTGAATTTGTAAGTTTGCTCATTTACTAAGAAATGAACAGTCTCTATTTTTTATGATGGTTTCATTTTAATTAAGTGAGACGGAATATTAACCAAAAGTTCAGAAAAAACACATTACATAAAAGTTATAAATAGATTTGCGTCTCATTAAGTGAAAGTGAAGTACTTGATTCCCTACAGCCCAGCCAGAATTCTGGTTCCCACTGATTGGTTGTGTGCCACGTTACAAACAATCAGTCAATTACAGATACTCCTGATCTCAATGTGTTATGTGTGTAAAGCACACCTGTCCACAGAATTAGTTTCTTCCATTCCAGTCTGTCCGCCATGGTCGGCAAGACCAAATCTTAACTTTCCCATTGAACAGCTAAATAATTCAGAGAAGGCTTGGAATAAGTGCTGCGGTCAGATGAAACTCACTCACATCAACCTAACCTGCCATGTTTGGAAGAACAGATATGTTCTTTGGGTCACACTCAACATATCTGTTCTTCCAAACAAGGCTAGCCAGTCTCCAGACCTCAGTCCTGTAAACGTCTGTGGAAGGAGCTCAAGCTTCAGGTAGCTAAGCAGGTAGCTAATCTGTTAGCCAAGAAAGCTAAAAGATTTAAAGAGTTTCTGTAAAGAGACTCGCTGCGCCGTTAAATATAAACAAATGTCCAAGAAACCCATCCGCATATATACATATTCTGTACAGTGTCTGAAAATATAATGGTCTATACCAGGGGTCTGCAACCTTTAACACCCAAAGAGCCACTTGGACCCGGTTTCCACGCAAAAGAAACACTGGGAGCCGCAAATACTTTTTGACATCTAAAATGAAGATAACACTGCATATATTATTTTGTTTTGTTTTTTACCTTTATGCTTCAACTAAGGTGTGTTGCTTATGAAATCCATGAAGTGCTACAGAGAAAATTACATTTTATTTATGTAATTAACACATTTTGAACTCTTAAAGAAATATAACAAAAGGAAAGACACCCAGCTGAACTAAAATGATCCAGCAAACAAAAACTGTTGTGAGGCCCCCTTATATCGCCTTTGGGCTTTTGGAGCCTTGACCTGACTTTGAAAAAACAATTGGAAAAAAAGCACTATGCTGCTAAAAGATGAAAAATAGATATTTGCAAAATTCTGCCTAAATATGTATTTTACCAGGTTGATGTGTGTGGCGGGGCATCGTCTGCAATGCCGCTGCAGGGGAGGCGGACGCACCTGAGCGGCACCCGCAATCTCGCCTCGCCGCCTTAACGTCTGTGCTCTCGGCTGTTGTGTTGGTGTGTGTCGGGCTGTGAGCTGAAAAGCTACAGCCGGCTGTATGCGTACAGCAACCGTGTGTGAAAAGTGGTCAATAAAGAGATGCTGAAAAGCACGTTCATGGAAACATCGTCGGGTCTGCGTGGTATGTTTACAACGGGACTTCCGCTCCTGAACCTCCGCGCACAGCGTCTGAAAATCGGGGCTTTATTAAGTCACTTTCATCTTTACAGGACTGTAAGCTGTCGTCTGTGAGGCGTGAGCGGTGTTTGTTTGAACATAGTTCACGGTGGAGAACAGCTGCTGACATAATGTGGATCCGAAGATCCATAATTGGCCTACCTGGGGTTGAAAGTCTCGATAAATGCACGGCGCTTCGGCGGGTATACCGGCTTCCGCGAGTGTGACGCTTATTTTGAGCGATGAAAAATAATAAAATATAATTTTATTTTATATTTCAATATCACAATAATCTTCCAATTTAGAACTACAAGTTAAAAAAATAACTAATCACAAATAAAACACACTTCAGCTAAATACTTCTAATTTATTTTCCCAGACCACGCGGAGCCGCAGTACAAGGACTAAAGAGCCGCATGCGGCTCCGGAGCCGCAGGTTGCCGATCCCTGGTCTATACTTTTTGCTTAGCTCGTAAAAAACAAAAAAACTTTTCCTCAAGAACTTCTTTAATGTTGCAAATCTGTAGAAAAAGGAGATTTTTTTTTGTACCAAAGGACTGGGGATATAAAAATAAATGGTCCTGGCCTGGATGTGCACTCCAGCCTTTCTTCAGTTGCCAATCCACTTCTGTAACTGATGGCTGCTGGCATGTCAGAGAAACTGACACTTTGTCTACGTGCTGACATGCACCTTTGATCTGCCAGGCTGTAGATTCCAATTTGGATGTAGTTGCCTATTTGTTTTTGCTCCCAAGCTGCTCTGTCTGACAGGGACCATCTATTTCAACAGCTTCCTACTCCCACTTGTATTTTTATTCATAACTCTTTTGTCATCTCGACTCAGTTAATTTTTTTTCTCCTTACTAATACAGTCAGTAGGCTCGTCTTTCTCCCTTCCAAATGGATCTCACGTTACATCTTTTCTTTTCCTCCATGACAGGATTCATCATTTTTCAGTTGGAAATGCAGATCTTTTGGTGATTGTTATTTTTATTATGAAATGTGGGACAGATCAGAGATGATGGCAGCCTGAGCTTGTGTGTTTTGGAGCGCTTGTCCCTGCGCGCTGTCACACCTGCATCTGTGTGTGTTTATCGAAGCTGACACGTGAGAGCTCTCTCATCTGAGAGGATTGACGGAGCCATTATGGTGGCGGCGCTGTGTGGGGTTGAAGCCCATTAGTGACGCTACACCCGCTGCAGTGTGGACGCCGGTCCCAGCAGCGTGGCCTGTCACCGCAAGACGGATTACCCCACTATGCTGCCACTCTACATCCCCTCGCCTCAGCCTCCCTTGTGTGTATTTGTTTTTGAAGACTAAGGTTGCAATTATGCACAATATCCGTCTTTGTTTTGTAGTTGAAAATCAGTTGTTTGTGAAAACACTTTTTGTCTCTCGTGGTCACAGTGCATTGTCAGATGTATTCCCATTTAAAAAGACAGAAAAATACAGGATACATCAACTTGAGACTGCTTCAGCTGTTTTTGTAGACTTTAAAAAACTGATAAAAGTCTTAAGTAGTGCTTTACTGCAGTGAGTGTGTGTTTCTGTGCTGACAGCAAGTTTTCTATGTGTGTGTCTGTTTGGAAGCAGTACTGTCACGCCTTCATCTGCCCTCCTTCCATGGGGATCCTTAAGAGATGAGATGTGAAATGTTGAAAGCAAACAGACTCTCAGGTTAAACCTCTGTGTGTGTTTACAGTGTGTGTGTGTGTGCTGAAACTTCCTTGCTGTGGAGTCCAGAAACATGCAAATCAAAGTATTTCTGCATTTCAGTCACGCATGGATGATGGTAATTCGTGCTCATTATAAAACATATTGAATATGCAGTGTACAGGACAGCTGTGTGGCTGTGTAGGGCCATTTTGCTGTAAATACTTAGAAGTCAGAACTCTACAACTCTACATTTCCAGGTTTTGCTCAAAATGTGCAGTTTAACTTAAAGAGTAAATTGTGTTGGACAATAAAAAGCACACTCACACACATTCAGAAACACAGAACTCAGGCCTGAGAAGCAATCATGTAGCAAGGGCAGAGGTTATGGGAACATCACCTTCCAGGTTCTCATTAGACACTGATATGAATGATAAGGACCAGTCACTGAACAGAGCCATTCATAGGGTTATCTGTTGTGTCCATCACATCACACAGAAAGGCATTGCATCCACATTTGGATTACAAGCATGGCATCATTCTGGATTTAAAAGCGAAACTTTTAATGTTTGTTCATGTTTAGACAAATCACATTAGTTAAAAATAACGTACAACGCATTGCTATGCCATAGAGTTTATAAAACACTGAGCATAATCTGAGTCTGAAAACTTAAGCATGAAATTTCCTAAACCTGCATTCATTTTTTATTATTTTTTTAAAATGATTTTTTTCATTAAAAATAAAATTGAAAAATAAAAAAGAAGCTTTTGTTGATTGATGTTGGCATTTTAAACAAACAAACAAAAAAAAGAGGACAATTTGCTGAACTTAGTGGGCAATACCTGTGTTTCCACAACTGAATGTTCAAACATTCAGTTTCAGTCGGTCACCGACAGCAAAAGACTTCAATGCAGTCACTGGGCAAAAATTGAAGCCAACTTTAGTGAAGAATATCTAAAAGACAAAATAATGCTTAAGTTGATTATTGTTTTTTGTGCACCTTCCCAGGACCTTGTTTCAGATAACAATAAATGAGTTGTGTTGTGAGTGAGTCTGTTTTGTATCAAGTCCTAATCCCCGTCTTATGGCTCAGTCACACTAGAGTAAAAATAGGATGGCAACATCTCTGTAACTAGGAATAATCACTGGTCGCCTGGTAATTGCATTGAAGTTTTTTGCTATCGGTGAACAATTTGCAAGTAGTTGCTGTGAGTATTTTTATTGCACGTTGCCTGGTGAAAAGCAGCCTGTCTCCAAACAACTGAAGTGTATCTTCAGAGGAGTCGTTCAAAGCCAGTGAGTTTGCAAATTCTTTGCACAATTGTGCAATAAATATGCTCATGCTGAAATCTCTGACCACGGTTTTAGTGTGACTATAACTTTATACTCGGTTTCATTTAAATAACTCCTCTGTTTTCTTGATTCAGAGTATATTCAAGGTCTTAGACTGTAACTGTTGAGCATCTTTTGTTTGTCTTTGCGTCTCAGATGAGGATGGAGCTGAGCCCAGTGCTAACTCAGTCTCAGCGTTCAACCTCCTTCGTCTGTCCCACTACACTGGAAGACAGGAGTGGCTCCAGAAGTCCCAGCAGCTACTGACGGCATTCTCTGACCGTCTGACCACTGTTCCCATAGCCTTGCCTGAAATGGTGCGAGCTCTTATGGCCCAGCACTACACACTTAAACAGGTGAGTTTGAAACTAACACACATGATCATGAAGGGGAACAAGTTCAGGCACCAGAAGGATTTATGTTGTCCTGTGAGTTCACCGGTTATTAAAGTCTTTTGAGTTTTGCATGTAGGAATCAGGGCTACTGGTGGGTTTTAGTTACTATGACAACCAGATAATACTTTACAATTGGTATTGGTAGGATAGTCAAAGTAGTCTTGATTTAATATTACGCATTTAAAGTGCCACTGTTGATTGGTGTTAGCCAAAGACAGTTGTCCTAAAAGCCAGGTTGGCTTGGAGAGCAGGTGTTTGCCAGGCTGCCAGCCCAAATTGATTTTTGCATCCACCCACTAAAGGCAAAGGTTTCTGCTTGAATGATGTATTGTGCAAACACAGTTTGTCATGCAATTTGCATTTAGCGGTAAACAAAAACTGAAGAAAATGATGTGGCATAGCAGAAACAAAAGCTGAACAAGAAGCTGGTGAAACAGATTTAACTGATTCTCTTGTATACTCAGTAACCATGCAGTAAAGTGAACGTGAATCAGTATGAAACTATTCCACTACATCTCTCCACAGCACTGCAAATAAAGTTTTATTGATTGATGATGTTTGCATATTTGGGTAATAAAGTTCTCTCTTTAGTTGGTCAAACTACAGATGCCATGAAGCAACCAGAGCCTAAAGTCATGTCTGTTTGTTAACTTTTTTTATAATAACAAATATTGCAAAAAGTGAAAGACAGAGATAACGTATACTATTCCTCACAGCAAGCAGCCCTACTGTACTGTACTTTACTGTATTGTGTTTCAGCCATTCCTAAACTTCCACGGCACAGTTTGAAATGGGACACACAAAACTTTTAGTCACTCTGATCGTCTCACAAATGAAAAATGAAACGTTTCCTGTGCGTGTTTTGTCATTCATTTGTTTTAATCTTAGTTTTTCTTTCCAAATTAAGTTTCCTGGTTACTATGAAATGTGAGATGAGTTCAAGATCAGGAAATGGTCTGAAAGCCTGAATAATAATAATAATAATAAATAAGTTATTTTGAAACCCCTTAAACCCTCAGAAGTTCTTTAGAATCCCAAAACTTTTAAAATAAAAATGTGTTGATTTTGAAACCAATCCTAAAGGATTTTATCCTGTAGGGTTAAATAATAAGTGCATCTAATTTTATAAAGTTATCAAACAGGATTAAGTTGTATAAAAGTCTAAAAGGTGTGACTTTTAAAACGATGCTTTTCTGTGCACTTGAAATGTAATTTGTTTGAAAGAATCAAATATATTTTTTTAGGTATTTATTGTAAATTATGCTGCGCGGCCCACCTGGATCAGTTTGTGACCCACATTTACGTTATCACTGTTAAACATCTTTTACTGAACAAAAAAAAAAAAAAGTTACGATTTTTGTTCCCTGAAATCAAAACGATTTTTCATTTAATGAAAAAAGATAGCAGGGAGCTTTTTAGTTCAGTCAAGTCCATTTTGTTTTTATATCACATTTGTGTCTGCTTTTAAAGTAATAAGTAACATTGTGTTCAGAAGTTGTTTTTGTATTGTAAATCAGTTTTTGATTGATCTCAGCTCCTGGCAACTAATTTCTTAGTCGACTAAATGAGGGGCTGCACAGGAGTGTGTGTGTGGTGTAGGGCTGCAACTATTCCTCAGCATAATCGACGACATCGCCTGCGCAGAAATTTATTGTCGACGCATCAGACGCTAGTACCACGTAAATGTGTTTTTGTAACTGACCGCAAAACAAGGAGGACGGAAGAAAATGGAAATGAGAGATTAAGATAAACATTAAATGTAGATTGTGCAAAGTGGAGCTTTCCTCCCACAACAGCACTACCGCAGTGCGTGATTATTTAAAGCGCCCGCACCTTGGAGCTGTGACGCCAGGTCTGAATGGGTCCGTTTTAGAAAGTTAAAGAAAAAGGCAAATTAGATCACTACATGAATAATCTTTAGTTACAGCCCTGCTGTGGTGGGTGAAACCTTTCTCCCTCCTTTGTCCGATCAGACTATCAAACCAGCTTGACTAGCAGTGACTTAAATAAAGGATCAAGCCTAGATTTACAGATTTATGGGGGTTTCTACAGCGATCTTGGGGCTGCAGCTCCATCTGGTGGCTCATGGATGCATAACCTTTACGACACAATAAATTGCTGGCATCGATTGAAATGTTAACAATTAGATTAAATGAGCAGAATGTCTGGTACCAACCAGCAGCGACAGTTAGTCATCTAGTCAAGTAGTCACGCACATCCTTAAGCTGAGGAAGTGTTCTAAATCAAATGAAGGATGAAAAATCTTTCACTTTATATATAATGAAACTGGAATGTATGAAAGTTTTGCAGTAATTAAAAAAATAAGAATTTTTTTAAACAATGTTGTATTTCTTTTGCTTCATTGGTAAACCTCGATCCCAGTAATAATCATGAGTTAGACTGTGAACAAAGTGGCTGTGTGTGTAATTTACTGACTAATGAAAGTGGAGTTAGAGCCAAGTAGCCTTCAATATCCTCACCATTCACAATATTTATGTCCTGTGCTGTTTCTCCTCCCGCTGCTACTTTTTCATTATTAACTTGGAAGCTCAGCGCCCATCATATAAACCCTGTTTGGATAAACATTTGTTTACAAGAGTCCTCCTTAAGCAAGCAGCTAATTTGTTGATATATATTTTTCACCCCATTTCATGGCCCGTAGGTCATCTGAGGACAGCACCTCTCTAAGCTCCCTGCACATCTAATCCCTGGACACACAGACTCTTAATCATTTTCCCCTGTTTTTAAACAGGACTTGTGCATTTAAGGGATTATTTCAGCTGTTCAGTTATGTAACTGCTTTGAAATATTAACACCCTCAGTTTAGCCTGAAACCACCAAAACTAGCAGGCACAGCAGGAGTTAGCCCAAAGTTTCTGTAACACTCAAAGAAAATTTTAAGTTTGAAAGCGTGTGAGAGAAGGGAATAACAGGAGCCTAAAACAGGATTAGTTAGGGGTTTGTCTGTCATAGATGACAGGGTGACAGGTCAGGGTAACAGCGCGAGGGTAACAAACTGAGAAGTAAAGCAGGGGAAGGCAATCCCAGAGAAAACACCTGCCTCCCTTGTTAGTGCTACAAATACAGTACTGACCTATATCACTTCCTCTCCATCTCCTCGTCCCACGTGTCACCTTTCCCCCCATTGCTTTGGTCTTATTATACTTCTTTCCTCTTTCTTCCTTCTTCTTTCATCCACATAATCTTTTTTTCCTCACCCTCCCTCTTCTATTTTTTTTATTTATCTTTTTTAGATTGTGATCTGTGGCCAGAGGGATGCTCCAGATACCACAAGTCTCCTAGCAGCAGTCAAGTCCCTCTTCCTCCCATATAAGGTAAGCTTTCAACATCATGTTTGATTGAAAGTGATGCATCATTTCGACAAACTGAGAAAAATATATCACCAATCGCTAAAGCAAAGATCAGCTTTCAGCTTTGTAGACGCATGCTGATTTACTCCAGCGTCAGTGTCTTTAAGGAGGCAGCAGATTTGCACTAACCTTCTAAACGTGCACACACACTGACACACAGAAGCAGAGTGAGCCCAACGTAGAACAGCGCCTGTGGCGTTGGCTGATTTAAGTGTGGTTTTTTAAAGGTCAGCCTGAGCTTCTCTCTTTTCCACTCCTCAGTGTAATAACTTCCCAGCTATCTCTTTGGGGGCATTAGTTGACCTTAAAGCCCGTTGCTGACATTGAAAGGCCCAGTAGGTCTAAATCTTAACTCTGCAGTCGGTGAAGGCCTTACTTGTCTTCCTGCTAGCCCTGATGGAGGCTGGTAGTTAAGAACTGGACAGCTGTCAGTCTGAGTCAGTCTTAAATTCACTGTGGCTAGCCAACATTTTTCAGTGCTTTCAGACAAAAAATGTTTCTCTGTGTTTCACACTAAATATAATAAATGTTAAAAAAACAACAACAGCATAAATTGTATATAATGGCAGGTTACCCGTGGTGAAAATCCAGTGTGGGAGTGCCTTTAACCTGCTTTCTTTGTAAACTGAACATGTTAGAGTAAAACCTAAAAGATTGTCAAACAAGCACCAGAGGTTTCCAATTTGTGAGCGTTAAAAAAATGTCTTTTTTAGAAAATTTTGACACAAAAGGAAACAAAGCTAGAAGATGAGCCAGTAACAGAATGTAGATAAAAGAGACCTTTTACTTACTGTAACTTGTTTATCAAAAAAATACATAAAAAATCTCAGGTGAAAATACTAGTTTCTAGTATTCTGTGTTATTCTGTGGGGGGTGGGTGTAATGAAATTGAAAATTTCATGTGACTATTTGCCTTTACGTCTGATGTGGGTCAGATCTGAGTTGACTTAAAAAGGCCATGCTTTCACACATGCCTGTGATTTGGTGCCAGCCTCTATCTCAGAACATCTTGACAGCATGGAAGAAAAATTTCTGCGTGGCTTTGACTTTGAGAGGGTGAGGTCGGAGACAGTCACTGTCTGTTATGGATGTTAAGGTCCAGAGTGCATCCACAGGAAAGCTCCTTGGTGTTGTAGCTTTCTGCTGCTTTTGTCACTTTGTGGGTTGAATCAGCGGTCTCCAACCTTTTTTGCACCACGGACCGGTTTATGCCCGACAATATTTTCATGGACCGTCCTTTAAGGTGTCGCGGATAAATACAACAAAATAAAACTAGTACCGGTACCGAAAAAAAGAAGATTTATTCATAACACACGTGAAAAGGCCCAGGAAAACCGAGTTAACGATAAAAACGATAAAATAACGCTGAAAACCGATAAAAACCCTGAAAACCATACATTTCACACCTGAGCCTCAACTCTCGTGGCCTGGGACCAAACGACTCACGGACCGGTCCGAGGCCCGGGGGTTGGGGACCGCTGGGTTAAATTGTAAAAAGAATCTTTACAAGCTTGTTGAGTAAGTGAAACTCAACAAAGAAAGGGCTCCAGCACAGATTCACAGCTCTCACTATAACACTTCTCTTTAAATTCACTTATTTGCCCAGCTTGCAACCAGAATTAGACTACTAAATTAAAGCAGTGATTGTCCACTCCATCTCTCGCCCTGTCTTTTCTCACACACACACACACACACTCCACACTGCCCTACTGAAATATAGATGAGTTGTGCAGTATCAGGCAGTGGCTGCAGTAACATCAAGCCATTCCAGATCCCCGCAGAGAGACACAGATCAGGACCGAGCTGGATGGAGCCATTATCAGGATGGATGTATTATTAAGGCTGATGTACACTGTGTACTGTCACATGCTCAGCCATGTTATATTCAGGGTAATGACAGTGATTTCTCTGATGGGGTACTGTCTCAGTCAGGAGAAATGGTCACATCAATAATAAAGACAGGTTTATTTTCAAGTTAGGTTCATTTAAATGAGAAAGTTGGTCATGAAAAATTTAGTTTTTATTGCTCATTGATTTTACGCTGCAGCCCCTCAGAATGGTAACCACGTCATGTCAGTGCAGCTGTGATCGGCCCATTCGGTGGTGTCATTTCCTCCTGTGCAATTCCAGCTTCTCTTTCTGTCACCATTTTTTACCCCTTAGCCACGTAAGGCTGATGGGGTATCATGGTCACCCCACCGGGTGGGTGGATAAATGCTGGCAGCAGCAGTGACTATGTAGGCTAAATTGTAGCCTCGTATTGTAATCGCGCATGAGGAGGCCATCTCACAGACGAGCCCTTGTGTAGTGACGTATGAGAAATTTGTCCCTGTTTGTTTGTTTTTCTTGTGTAAAATGACTCAGCTGTCACTCCTGTGCTCTTCAGCACACTTCAAGTTTTTCATTGACAAAAATGCCCGGTGGGGAAAAAGTTAAGGAGATGAGATAATCGAGAAGCTCCGCAAATGCACTGTCAAATTACACTGTGATTCAAAAATCAATCCAACACTCGGAAATGTCCTCCTCTTGTTTTCTTTCATTTCATGATGACTATGATGGATCAGTGTAGCTGCTACATACACACACAAATAAACTTCAGCGTGCACAGAAAACACACAGACTTTATACAGAGAGGTGAACCAGGAGCCTTCTTGTTGTGAGGCAGTAAGTGATCAGCACTACACCACTTAGAGTAAAAGAATAAAATGTTCTTTGGACTGAAAACAGTAATATGGTTAAAAAGAATACAGAAAAGAAGTAGAAACATTATAGTCTAGGAAATTTTATGTGTTTATTTTTTATCTCGAAGACATGGAATAGAAAAAAAGAGGCTTCACTGGTATCTTGTTAGATACTGAATGTAAAGATGGAACAGTTTACAGTATAACTGTGCATTTGTGCTTTTAGAAGCAAAGAAACAAAGACTCCTGGAGTCTGTTTGAGTGACACGTCAGATACAGATTTTGTTCTAATGAGCCTTCAGAGTGAGATGAAGGGGGAGGCTGAGAGGGAGTAAATGAGGCAGAGGACAGAGTGTGTGTGCACATAGTATCTGTGTGTGTCCAGATATAGTGGCAAGAGCCAACTTTAGTGGCAGTAGAAGCTGTCTCAGCCAGGATGAGATTTGATGGTCCTGCACAACAATAAACATGCACATAAACCTATTTTTGGAGATGAGACATCACACTTTGAGAGGAATGGCATCACTGCCTACAGCAGATGTAAAATACACTCACGGACTTTCTGATACAGTTTGTTCACAAGCAACACTTGGAGCACATAAACACATTCTGGGAGATACACAGTTTCACATGCAAATATAAGATAAATAAGTGAGGACAAAAGTTCACATGTACGTGATGTGATTACAAACTAGAGGAAGGGAAAAGGAAGAAATTAAGAAAAAATAAAACTGTGCTCAAGCAGTTCGCCTGTTAATTGATTATCAAGAAATTTAATCAGCAATTTAATCAGCAGCATAAACAGAGAAGCCCACACCTCTCCCTCTCCCCAGCCACCTCCTCCAGCTTGTCCGGGGTAACACCAAGGCGTTCCCAGGCCAACCGAGAGAGAGATATAATCTCTCCAGCTTGTCCTGGGTCTGCCCTGGGGCTTCCTCCTGGCTGGGACATGCCCAGAACACCTCACCCAGGAGGCGCCCAGGGGGCCGCCTTATGAGATGACTGAACCACCTCAACTGGCTCCTTCCAATGTGGAGGAGCAGCGGCTCTACTCTGAGCCCCTCCTGGATGGCTGAACTTCTCACCCTATCTCTAAGGCAGAGGCCAGCCACCCTTCGGAGGAAGCTCATTTCCGCCGCTTGTATCCGCGATCTTGTTCATTTGGTCACTACCCACAGGTTGTGACCATAGTTGAGGGTAGGGGTGTAGAACTACTGGTAAATTGAGGGCTTCGCTTTATACTCAGCTCTCTCTTCAACATGATGGACCATCAATCTCCCGCTCCCTTCTCCCGTCACTCGTGAACAAGACCCCGAGATACTTAAACTCCTCCACTTGGGGCAGGAACTCGTCCCTGACCCGGACTGGACACTCCACCCATTTTCCGGCTGAGGACCATGGCCCCAGATTTGGAGGTGCTGATTCTCATTCCCACCACTTCACTCTCGGCTGCAAACTGTTCCAGTTTAATGGTTCAGTGTTTAGAATAATGCTTATTTTATAGTGAACCTTTGTGAAGCCCTTCACTTACTTTTAACATAGCTTTCCTTCTGATTGGTTACATTTTTTAAACAGAGGGATTGAGCAGCAGATGGGTGTGGATTTAGTGCTGACGTACTAAATAACTCTGAACGTAAAGCCTTAGTTTTGGCTTTACAGGGGTTACTTTATCATATGCTTAAATATGGCTTGAAACTTTAGCCATGTCTAATTTGAGCATCCAATTTAACAATCCAATCCAATTTTATTTTTTTTAAAAAGTTGACAAAAGTAGTGTTGTGTCGGTCACGAACGAAATGGCTCTTAGTAATAAAAGCATGTATAACTTTCCAAAAGTTAATAATAAATAAGAAGTGCTTGACCTTAGAAGCCTTAGTTGGTAAAAACCTAATTGAACAAATGAATTAAGAATTGTTTGTTCAGTCTTTAAGTTACAGCCCATTTTCACACCAAGCTTATTTATAATGGAAACTAAAAACGCTACGTCCAGATCAACAGAATCAACCTTTGGAGACATTGGACACAGGTCCAGTTTTGGATCATCGCTGGAACTAATTGGTTTTTATTATTGTAATTCATACTTCTCATTAAAGTAAAAAAAAAAAAATTAAGGTCATTCAGACTTTAATGTCACTTGACAAAATATGTAATACTTTTAGGAGCAGGTAGATTTGGAAATCATCAGCACAGAATTGATACCTGGCAAAGTAATAGAATAGAACCCTGTGAAACTGGTTAGATCTAAAGCACTAAAATAATGCTGTCCACAGAGTCATTAGCTAATAAAAGATCATTTAAAAACTCTTAAGAGAAATGATTCTG